CTGAAAGTTAGTATTGGAGCATAAGAATTGTTTCTGCACATCACGGATCAAATACTTTTTTCGGTCTATCAACAATTCTCTTGATTTTGGCCTTTGGATTAAAAACTTTGAGCCTTGATATTTCGACATGGAAATCACCTAAAATCATGATTTTTTGACTAATCATTAGATTTCATTATGGTCAATAACATAATATCATTGAATATCAAAGAAATGTGATTTATTTCATCCAATAATGAATATTCTTGAGACACATAATAAGTAACCATAACTTTTGTTAATCTTTTATCAAATCTGGTAACATAAAAATACAATGTTATAACCTTTCGTGTAGCATCTTGAATAATTTGATCTTGCACCATTTTATAATCCATCACAGAATCTAATATTTAGTCGCAGAATGATCATTGTAAGTACTACCATTCTCGGATTATCGAGGCTCAAAGTTTTTAGTTCAAAGGCCAAAATCAAGAGAATTGTTGATAGACAGAAAAAAGTATTTGATCCCTGATGTGCAGAAACAATTCTTATGCTCCAATACTAACTTTCAGTTCGCTAACTCTTATGGTCACAGAATGAAGTGGGTTTAATTAAAAATCGAACTGATCTGTTTTACAGAAAGTCAAAGTTTTATTTCATGTAACAAAGGCCATTTTCTGGTTGGCGATCAAAATTTACATCAGGAGAATGAGTTTCTCGAAGAAATCTGCTTCCATTATTACGCAAAACGCGATCGAAGTTTCAACTTTGACCTGGATTTTCTCGAAAACTATTGATCAGAGAAGCTTTTAAATCGCACTGAAGTACCCAGTTTTGATCTCCCTACGTAGTAACCGAGTCTAAATTCGGAAGAGATTCATTTTTACCCGTTTTTGCTTGTTTTTAACCATTTGTCTTTCATTATTTTTGTCAATTTATGCATAAATGCTACAATTGTGTCTAACAGTGTCTTTTTAGTAAAAACCTCAAACTTACTGTTCATAATATGTTAAAGGTAACAAAATGAACTGAAAAATCAAAATTAAATGATTGTCTAATGGGTGGCTAATTAGTTGCAATTATTCTGCTCAAATTATACAGCTTTAGGTCACCGAATTGAAGGTGTAACACGATCAATTAAAGCATTTCTGCAGTTGATAGATTGATTTCTGCTCTTAGAGTAATTAGTTGATTAAACAGCTCAAAAAAGCAAAAAGACGGATTATTCTTATTAAGAGTAATGATTGTAATTTAACCATTGAATGCTTTGTTGTTGAGGCCAAAAAACTAAAAGATCCATTTGAAAGAATGTGATAAAAGTGCCTCAAAACGCGATTGTCTTCCAAATATAAGCTACTTCTCATAAAGATCAACCAGAAAACCATAAGCCAGAGAAACTTTTAAGTCACAAAAATGGACTCAGTTTTCTTTTCCTACAAACCAAACAGAGTTCAAAATTCTATACGAGTTCGTTTTTACCCGTGTTTAACCATTTTTACTCATTTCCTTTTCATTATTTGTGTAAATTCGTGCATAAATGTTACAACTGTGTTAACTGTGTCTTTTCAGTAACAACCTTAAATCGACTGTACATAATATGTTAAAGGAACTGAAAATTAAAATTAGAATGCGTTAAATGCTTGTTTAATGCGTTTCCTTTGCAACGAAATTATTTCGCTCAACTTATTAAACTTTAGGCCACTAATTGAAGATGTCTCTCGATTAACTAAAACCTTTCTGCATTTGATATACTCTTAAAGTAATTAGTTAATGAAACAACTCAAATAAGCAATTAGGTGGCTAAAAACTTATTAAGAGTAAGGATTAAAATTGGCCCATTTAATGATTGGAAAGACCAAAAAGGCTAAAAATCAAACGAAAAGAAGATAAAAGTGCTTCAAAACCCGATGATCTTTCAAGCATAAAATATTTCTCATAAAGATAGCAACATTGTTACTCTTTGCTCATCATTGACAAACTGGTTGGTCCAAAAATCTAAAGTCCAAAACAATGCCGTTCAATAACCAATGACCCATAGCTCTATTCGAGTTCACATTTTGTTTCATCTAACCCCTTGGCTTTTGCCAGTTTAATTTAACTCAATAGAGGCTTCGGTCTTCTTCTTTTGAAGTTTTGGTTAAAGAAACTAAATTGTGAAGATGTCCAACTTATAAATATATGGGCTTTAATTTATGTTAATAGGTTTATGTTATTAACTAATATTAAACAGTGTGAGTATAGCTTAAGAGATATTTAGCGATGACATTCATTGAGAAACTTAATATTGCTTATGATACGAAAAGTCAAAATCTATGTTTCAAATTGAAGGTTCCTCATCTTAATTTGAAAATTTTAATAGCCTATGAGAACTGAAAATTAATCAGCTTGAATTTTTAAAATAATTTAACAATTAAGTGAATTTGGGTTTGAATCCGACTTTTTCTTCGTGTTTATATTTATGTTAACCGAAGCAAATAATTTGGAACAAATATCAAATAAAATAAATATTCACAATCGCTAAAATTATCTTTATTGTCTTGTCTAAATTGTTTTTGGTTCGCTTATTTTAACATCTTTATGCTTTCTCAAAAATAATTTATTTATTTAACGTTAACTTTGTTTTTCGTCGAGTCCTTTTTCAGGAGTGCTTTCATTAAAACTTCGTAGTTAATTGCTCTTTCTTGGCACCAGCTTTCAAGTTTTTCGTGAATTTTCAGCAAAACGAATGCATCGGTTGCGGCATAAGCAATTTTATCAGCAGTGAGAGGTCTCATTTCCCAATTGGTGTATTGGTCCTCTTTGACGAGACATTTCCCTAAAACTGTATAAGATAGCTTGGATAAGCCTTTAGTTGAAACAGGATATTCAGGTAAAGGTATTTTGAATGCTTGCACGAGTGAATTGTGAAATTCCGCATAATCAATAAAACTTTCTGGTTTAGTTTCGATATTCATGTCAGCCATCAATTCAGAAATAGCTAGCATATCGTTCTGGAGCGAGAATCCTATTTTTAGTAGAGTAGGATTATTGATGATCGAATTGACAAAGGTGGCCCATTCACTATCACAACTTAGTTTAACTGCATCGACCACAAAAATCCGATCTTCACAGGCGATTTGTACTAAAGCTACTTTTGTTTTTCCTTCAGTGAGTAAGCCCAGGTTCGGTTTCCATTCCGTATCGATAGCTAATAATGGACGCTGAATAAATTAAATTATTAGTATTACTCTTCAATAATCACCTGCATTCAAATTTAATGGTCATACTTACTTTGTTAGTAATATAGGAGTTCATTTCTTTAAATTTCTCATGACTATCGATAAGAAAGATTTTATCCTCTGGCAAATCATATTCAAAGTTTTCAGCTTCAACTTCAACACCTTCTGCATCCCAATCCAAGATAAAACTTTTACTATCAAGACTGGGATAATGTTTGTCAGGTTTAGAACGGTTACTTAATAGTGACTCTGGCCACTCGTTTTCTGGTATACGATGTAAATGAGCCAAACGTCTAGCTTCCTCGTATTGTTCATAGTTTGTAAGATCATAAATCAGCTCCAGTACAAGATTGCTGTCCTCTAATGCTGGATTATCCAGGTCAAACACTGAATCTATCATTGTTTCCCAAGTCCTTTTGTCCATAGGTTGATGCTGTAATCAATGGAAATGATAGAAGTACAGATCAGATGAAAATTTACCAAGAATTTAAATAAAGGATACTTACTTCTTCGTACTTTCGTTTGAAGAGGAATTTAATTGCGGTAATTTTAGCATTGTAATCTGTTTTTGGGCAAAGTTGTATTGGAATTTTATATTCTCTAGCCAAACGTTTAGCCAATTTATTGATTGATTTATTATTAACCATGACAAAATTAGCGCCAGGAATATCTCGAGCAAAATACGCCAACTCTCCTGCATTATCAACGTATTTATCGATACATGCAGCAACATCCTGAGCGATTGCTGGATCTTGTCTCATCAATTGCTCCACCACATTGATTTTAGTTTGGCATATCAAAGGGACACAAATGTCTTCTATATTAAATTCACGAATAACCTTAGCATGGATACCAAACCATGCTGCAGATGAAAACTTTTTCTCATCAAGCGTTTTCTGAAGCAAACGAATCCTATCCGCCTTAGGTAAACTTTCCACATGATAATATTTACAGATTGTGTTGATCCAAGTTTCACTTTCTCTATCGATAGCGAACTGACACGCCGCCAAAATTACTTTCTCTTCCCTTAACGTTTCATCAATCATTGCTTGGTTTCTATCCATAAAATCTTTGAAGCGTTTTAAGGCTTGAATACTGATAGGTTCGTGTTTATACGACTTTCTTAAACTGCGGCTATCCAAAGCTTTGAACAATGATAGAGCACTTGTATAAATTGTTTCTTTGTATTTCATGAAGTACTTGTCAAGGTAAGGGCCAATTTTTTCATCTGTATCTTTTTTCATTTGCCCTTGATTCAAATATCTCCATTTATTGGTAATTTCGGAAATGTCTTTATCCATGTCGGAGATGATAACACACTAAAAGGAAGATGGACGAAAGGAGAATCTCAATGGTCAATGAAAATGGTTAAAAACACTGGTACAGTCAAAAAACTCGTTAAGTTAAAAACACTTGCTGATGATACTTTGATGAACAAGGTTGCACAAGAAAAGATGACTAAACAAGCTAAACATGATTTTCATTTGTTTATAAAGCTTTTAAAATCAATTCGATCAACCCTCATTGGTCATTTTTATATTTTCAGATTAAGGCGGCAATTTAAAAATTAAATATTGGATTGAAATTTTCATTAAATAAAGAGATTGGAAAAGAAATAATAGCTACCGAGTAAATAATTGTTCAAAAGTAACTTTTATTTGTTTTAAATTAACATTCTATTTAGATTTTTTTACAGGATACTTTGTATCAGGATTGATGGATGCTTTACGTTTCAAAATTTCCTCATAAGCTTGCGTCTTCTTGAAATGTGAACTTGATTGGTCAACGTTGTACAAATGTGATTTATATATTGCCGCAAAACGAGAATCTTCTGGGTCGAACTGAAATGTAGAATGAAATGAGAAGTGAATACGCATGAAAATTATGTACAAAATAAAATTAAAATTTACCTTAAAATTATCTTCCGATTGTTTGGATTTGTCTTTTTTCTTTTTCCACTTTTTCTTGGATTTTTTATTTTCCACAAATTCACTGTAATCAAAATGTTTTCTGTCTTTTTTAGTAGAATCCATTACTAACAACTCAAGATCATCTCGTTTCTTCGGACTTTCATCATCAGAGTTTTCATCAGATTCATCTGATTGCTTATCTGATTCTGGATATTGCTCATCATCACCATCTGATTCTTCATTTTCATTATCTGAATCTTGTTCGGGAGCTTCGGTTGCTGATTGCTTTTTGAGTTTTTTAAGCTCTTTTCTCTTTTCTTTTCTCTCAACCAACTGTCTTTCAGCATAACTCATTTTTTCTTTTTGTTTCTTTTCGACAATTTTTTGCCCAATATTTTCCAACTCGGGTTCCCATTTTACTTCCATGTCAATATCCTTTTCATCGTCTGCAGAGTCTCTCTCAACATTTGCTAGTAAATCTTTATACTTGTTAATACGATCTTGAAGACTTTTACCTTCAAGAGTAATTTCCTCTTCATCTGACAATTCATCAGCTTCTTCCTCTGACGATGAAGCAAGGTAACAAGCTAAATCATCTGAAATTTTGTCTCTTTCAGTAAATGCTCTTTCCAAAGTTTTAGCGCGTTTAGGGTCAGTTTCATCCCATGTCAAACGAACCTTAGTTTGTTGCAGAGCAGTGGTGATAAAGAGAGGAGGCTTATAATCAATGAGAGAAGGCATCTCATTGCAAACTGAAGTTGGTTCATCATCGTCGAAAGACATGTCATCTGGAATGAATCTCAGATCCAAGGTTGAAGCACTGCTCTCATACTCCATTCCATCTAATTGGTCATATAAAGTTGCTGCAGTATCAGGCGAATCACATTCAACAACAGCATAATAATATTTCAACCTATTCAATTGATATTTTCTAAGTTTTTCAGAAACAAATGGACAATCAGTATTGATAATTTCATCGGCATCCCAGTTATTAGATTCATATGGATCTTCTTCGTCTTCTTCTAGTTTAACTTCAGTCAGCTCTTTTGGCCCTTCGAGTTTTTCTGCTTCCAACCTTTCTTTACCAAACTGAGATAAATATATCTTCACACTTAAAATTTCACCATTGCTTGGTTTAAAGGAATTAAGCAAAACAAAAAGATCTACAGCTTTAAGTTGATCCCAATCAACATTGGTAACAGCGAAACGGCAGGTGACATCATCTGTCCTCAAGACTTTTGAATCAATCTGTTCAGCAGTCTCATTTTCATCCTCAACTTCTTCTTCTTCCTCGTCTGAACTTTCGTCACTTGAGCTAGATTCCAAGTCATTGCATTCTCCACGGATTTTCTTGACATTTTCCTCGACTTCATAAAATTTTCTCAGATTGTCATTGTCAGTCTTTTTTACTCGTTTACCTCTTTTATCAACTAATGGTTCACCATTGAATTTTTTATCGAACATTTTTTCGAACCTTGAATCAACTTTGATCTTCCTTCCTTTACGAGGGAACTTCTTGAACCGTGGATCATTAAGAACCTTTTTGAATCGATCATCAAGTCCATCTTCCTCCATGGTTATGTCTAATAAGCTAAATTTGAATACATGAGGTTAGTATAAAAATAGAAAAGTTTACTCAAGCAAAAACTTAATTCGATATATTACTTACTTATTAATATTACTTTTAAAGTTAAAGTGGAGTTAATACAAACAGGGTTAATTAAATTGACAAATAAACACAACAAAAATGTTTGGAAATGTTTTTGTTTAACACGTGAAAACGGATTGCTTTTATGGATCGGATCCACACACTGATCCCAATCCTCTTTTTGGCTCACATTTTTAAAAACATTGTTTATTTTGTTTCTTGCTCTGGATCATTTTTAATTGTGATTATTATTTACTTAATTACATTTTTTAGATGACTATCTTTTAATTTGCTACGCTGGTTAGTTGGACTGGAATATACGATCCGTTGTTTCTATTGTTTCTTTGGAAATTAAGTAGATTTAATAAGTTAACTGACCAATGTTAAAATGTCCTGAAATGTGACTAATTTCAACTGATGCTTGAAATCCTTGATAACAATCAGATCTTGAAACTTGAACTTTTCTTTTTAAATCTGCTTTTTACTGGAAATCTTCAATGATTAGTAAAATCAGATATAATGTCCACTAGTTCAATTTGTGAAATAATTGTGAAATTTATTGATAGTTAATGATTTCTCTTGAAATTTAATGGATCATGAAAGGTGAGAATGTACATTGTTCTTGATTTTTTGTTCATTTTTAATTTGATAGTTATTTGATTAGAGAATTTCCAAGATAAATTAAAATGGATTGATTCTTTCGATTGATCATTGTGATCTAAAAAGTAAGGAAAATTGATTATGCTGTCGGTGCATAATAGCAAGAGAAAGGAAACTTGCTTCGGTTGTCATTGAACATGCAGCCTATTAGTGAATTTATTAGAAAGGAAAGATTAAAATTGAATCGACGATACTCAACTTTAGTTCAGTTAGAATTGTCATAAATTTTTGGATTCAGCATGTTGATAATAAATAAAATGAATAGAAAGAGTTGCGTTTTCTACTTTCATTGATTTTCCAGTTAGAGTAAAAGTTGAATCATTGATGAGAAACTTAATTTCTTCGATAAAATTTGAGATCACTTTGATCGACTTTTCCTTGGATAGTCTTGAATTAATTTACCACTGGAAGTTTTTCAGTCAGTTATCATTGATAAATTCACAGAATGGGTTCGTCTTTAGGTTCAACTAAATCACTCAGATCATATTTAGAAAGATCACCATCATCGTCTTCTTCGTTGTCATTATGTGAGTTTAAATACTCTAAATCATCATCTGAATCATCATCGTCGTCTCCTTGATTGGTACTATCTCTTTCATTGAAAAACTTTCGGTTCTTTACATCTCTTCGGCTCAAAGGGCGATTAATATTTTCAGAGGTGCTCGAATTGGTTGAATTTATATTTTGTGATTTATGTTCTTCTTTATCGGTTGGAAATTTCTTATCTTGAGAATTATTTCCATCGTCTGATTCATCCGAACTTCTATTCTCTCTGAAATCTCGCTTGAACCTTGAAGATGAATCATCCTTTTTTGAACTTTTGTCTCCGTCACGGTTTGACTTGTTACCACTTGTTGATGGTCGATGTGATCTTTCGTTGCTTCGGTCTCTGGATTAATTAATAAAATTTCATTAATTTGATGTTTATAAACAATAAGGGTTTTGTTTTTTATGGACAGACAAAAGGTGAGAAAATTGAAGAGGGTACACAATTAAAACTATAAAATATATAGACTAAAAATTATAACCTACCTTTCTCGATACCTTGTTGATGATTTTTCTTTATATCGATCAGGTGATTTATCTTTATCAATTTGTCGTGAACTATGATTGGATTTCTCTAGTGACCGCTCTTGAGATTTGCTTCTATTTTTTTCTCTTGTTTCAAAAGGAGATCGATCTTTCGTTCTGCCTTTATTTTTATCAGTTGATCTACCTCCTGAACGGTCAGTGGATCTCTCTCTGGATCTTGGTCGATCTCCTCCTCTATCACTTCTGGAACTATAGAGAGGGGTGAAAAATAATGTTAATAATGAGATACATATATATATGTATATTATATCAATGATATATGCAACATTTAGTTATTCATCACTTCCAAAAACATTGAAACATAATAATTAACAGCACGTATGCAGAGAATAAATAGTGAATTTGAAGAGTGAATCAAATCATTAAAGTTAATGAATTCATGCATTGCTAGTATAAACAATGTCTATCAATAAAAAAGCATGTTTTTACAGTTAAATCTACAAAATAAATTTTAGCCAACTAGGTTTTGTGCCTCAGAGAAAAAACGGGGAAAAGATTGTAATTTTGGCAAAAAAGGTAAAAATAGATTCACCTGTTCGATTTCCTGGGGGTATCGTATGAACGGAATTTCTTTTTCTTGCGTCCGAAATCATCATATTCAGAATCAGAATCCTCACTGTAGCAATGGAAGTAATAATGATGATAATAATAGCATAAAATAGTAATATATAATAATATGAAAAATTTATAATAGCAATAAAATGAAATACAAACAAAAATGCTTACCGGCGTATATATTCAACTTGACCACGATCATTGTAACCGCCACCAAGACCAGTCCTTTCTTCATTTTCACTAAATTTAGGTCCATTACACATGTTACATTGTTGTCTACGAACCCAATTGACATTTCCACAGCGACCGCATTGCCAATCATCAGCGGAAAACAAACCCCGTGATTTTTCAGCGGCCATTTTTCCGATTTCATGACCAATTAATTTTTTGCTTGAGCTACTGTTTGAACTGCCTTTTTCTCGACTTTGATGAGATGATGAGGATGGAGAATGATGATGACCATGATCTCGACTTCTATCTCTATCCTTAGATCGATCCCTGGTCCGATCCCGATGACGATCACGGTCACGGTGATGAGAAGAATGTTGATTGTAAGATTGATTGGATGAAGAATGATGAGATGGTTTGTCGCCTTTCGATGGATAATATCTATCTCTACCACATAAATTACAAGCTAATCTTCGAGCAAAGTTGACATTGCCACAAGAGGAATCAGAACAAACCCAGTCACCGTCAGCGATATTATTGCGACCACCAGAGCCATAGGAAGATCTAGGTTTACGAGCAACCTGATCTTTTCTGGTGTCGCGGTATCCCTCCGTCCGTGAAGTAGCCAATTTAAAGCCGTTACAGTTTACCTAAGAAAGAAATAGATAAAAGGTATAAATTCACTGCAAGAAAAACCTCTGCCCATACAATCCCTTCAAAGACAGAAAATCAAACATATCATGAATGAGACAAATTAGATTGTAACAATTATTACAAAAATTATACTTGTTACGAAAATAATTTAATAAAATAATTATTTATCATTATTACCTTTCAGGTTAAATTGGTTGAACAATTTTAATTAAATTAGACAAAATGAATATGACAAACAAAATTTTCTGAAAGTGTTTTTGTTTAACACGTGAAAACAGATTGCTTTTATGGATCCGATACTTAACCTGATCCCAATCCTGTGGCTCACATTTTTAAAAAGCATGTGTTTCATGTGTTTCTGAATGTTTGATAAACATTGTCTATTTTTGTGTTTCTTGCTTTAAGTTATTTTTAACTATCATTGCTATTATTTTTTTAGATGACCATCAATTAAATTGTTACAATGGGTAAACGTAAATTGGACTCCAGTGTTAAGAAAAAGTTGGCAAACAATGTGTCTAACAATGATAGATCTGTGATTGCTGTTGTTGGTCCTTTGGCTCATCTCTCTATTCCTTCAATTTACAGTCGAATGAGTAAATTGAAAAATAAGTTATCAATGTCCATTTTATGGTTATGTTCAGATGTTCCATCATACTATGAAAGTGATAAACGAAAAGTGGTTAAACTGCAGAAAAAGCTCAAAGCCGACCAAGATAATTGCAGTGAAGAAGATTTGTTCACCATTCTCCTGGATCGAGTTCCGATAAACTTTATCCACTATCGAGATGATTCGCCATTAATCAATCAAGCCTTTGATCTACTAGTTATTCAAGATTTTGGCAGTCTAACTGCCAACCAATTGGCTTCTGCTTGTGAATGTATTCGAGCTGGTGGCTGTATAATTTTCCTTCTCGATACAATCAAAGACTTGAAAGAATTGTATAATCTTAAAATGAACGCTTATAAGATTTATGATAGTTCATCTCACAAAACAATATCGTTGTTTAATGAGAGGTTCCTTCTTTCTTTGATGTCCTGTCCAACTTTTATGGCTATTGGTGATAACCTGAAATTGATACCTTTAAGTAATTATGCAGAGCCGAAAATATCCGTCGAAGAAGTGTCTGAAGATGAAAATGAATTGAATGTTCTTAAAAATTCAACTGCTGACACACAACCTCTTGGTTGTCTGCTCAATTGTTGTAAAACTCTTGACCAGGCCAAAGCTGTTGTGAAAATGGTCGATGTTATCTCGAAAAAAGAACGACAAGTTACCTGCTTCATGGGTCCTCGTGGTCGAGGTAAATCAGCTGCTCTTGGATTAGGCGTTATAGGAGCGGTTGCTTTAAATTTTTCAAATATTTATATTACGACTAATAATTTGGAAGGTCTACAAATTATTTTCCACTATATTTTAATGGGACTACAAGAAGCTGGATACAAAGAGGGTGAAGATTATCTAATTATCCGTACATCCAAATCATCTTTACTTTCATCATTCTCTTCGTCGCCACCAACTATTTTGCCATCATCTGAAAATGAGAAAATAATAACTCGAATCAATGTTTTCAGAACATGTCGCCAGTTTATCCAGTATATTTCACCATATGATGCATCAAGGGATGAACTTTTCACTAAATCAACCCAACTTTTGATCATTGATGAAGCAGCCTCCATTCCATTCGATCAAGTAAAGTCGCTTATTGGTACCTTCATTGTTTTTCTCAGCATCACAAATAACGGATACAAGGCTAGCGGACGTTCTCATGTATCAAATCTAATGAAAGATTTGAGACGTTTATCAAGTAACCCACTAGAAGAGTTTACTTTAAGTGATCCAGTTCTCTTTTCTAAAAAAGATTCAGTGGAGAAATGGCTTAATAAATCTTTGTGCCTGGATTGGGTTAATTCTGAAAAGGATGATAAAGACAATTTCGGTTGTCCTGCTCCAGAAGAATGTCAATTGTTTTATATTAATCGTGAAACTTTATTCAGTTATCACAAATTGCCTGAAACACTTCTTCAGAAGTTGATGAATATCTATTTTGCCTCTGATTATACTGCAAATGCCAATGCAATTCAACTGATGGCTGATTCACCCGACCATCATTTATTCGTCTTGCTTCCACCAACAGCTCACAAAAGTAAAGTACCAGAAGTCTTATGCTTTATTTTTCTTCGACTGGAAAATGAAGATTCACCGCTAAATTGGGCTCAAGACAATTTCAATGCTGATGGCGACTCATCGATCTCTAAACTAATCCAACAAGAGTACCTGAGTAGCAAATTAATGTCACTTCATGGAGCTCGTATCATTAAAATAGCAATCAATCCTAAATATGATTTACAAGAATATGGTTATGACCGCAGAGCTTTACAACTTGTTGAAGAATATTTCAAGGGAAATTTCAACATAAAACTAATGAACGAAGAGGTAACACCTATTGAAAAAGTGTTCGAAAAGATTGGCTTGAATTTGGAAATAACTCCTCGTAGTGATTGTGAACCTTTGTTTTTAAAACTGGAAGAGCGGAAAGCAGAAGTTTTAGACTACATAGTTGTTAATATTGGGTTAACAGGTAATATTTTGAAATTTTGGCGTCGAAATGGATACACTCCGATCTATGTAAATCCAGAGGCTAATGAAGTTACAAGAGAACACGATTGTATTTTAATCAAATCTCTTATCACGGAAGATCGTGATGATGAAATGGATGTTGATGGGACGATTGCAGAAAAAGAAAATCCCAATGCATGGTTGATTAATCTATGGGAGCAATTCAGAAAACGATTCATTTCACTTCTTTCTTGTAGCTTTAATCAATTGAAAGCATTGCTTGCTGTTGAAGTTCTTCAAGAAAATGAGTTTATAAGTAAGAACATTAAACGTCAACCGTTAACAAAGATGGAACTGGAAATCTACATGACTCTCCATGATTTGAAAAGGCTGGAAATATACTCAACTTTTCGTGATGATTATCGTCGAATAACCGATCTACTTCCTCATTTGGCAAGGTTTTTTTTCATGCGTAAATTTGACGAATCTGTGCATTTGTCACCAGCTCAATTAATTATCTTACTTGGAGTAGGTCTTCAAGGTAAGACTATAGACGAAATTGGCGATGAAATAGGATTACCTGGCAACCAAATATTAGCTCATTTCTTGAAATCAGTTAAAAAGTTCTCAAATTGGCTCAATTCTATCCAAGAGAAAGCAATATCAGAAGCATTGGGACTAGAAAAGCAAAGCTATGAAGCAATTTATTCTATGAGACCAGTTCCTGGAGCCTTGGATGATGAATTAGAGGATGCCTCTGAACAAATTAAGGAAGAAGAGCAAGCTAATCGTGCTAAATTAACACAAGAAATGAAGCATCTTGCTAAATATGCTATTAAGGGAACTGAAGACGAATGGGATACTGTCTTGAAAGGCAAGCATAAATCAATCGTGTCAATCAAAACGTAAGTAAAAATTGTTTTTTTTAAACCTTCAAGTTCGTTAATAATTCGTTCTTATTAATTTAATCTTTTTTCTAGTGTTCAACCTAAAAAGCAGAAAAATGAGATCACTCCTTTGGATAAGCCGGAAAAGAGGAAACAAAAGTTCAAAAAAAAGCAATTTAATAAGGAATAAAAAGAATGGCAATTGACAATTTAATCTAAACTATCTCCAATAGGAAATACTAATGAATTGAATTTATTTGATCTGTAAATAAAGTGTAAAACATTGAGTAAATAAAAATGTTGGAAAAAATGAGCCGCTACCTATCTTGATCAGATTAATATATTTTTCTGATTATTTATCTTTTGAAAGATGGTAATTCCGATTCTGCAAGCTTTTGAAATCTTCTTAACAACGTACTTTAAAGATAGATCACTCGATATCATACTAAATTTTTATGATAACCAATCTCACTCAATGAAGTTATTGTGTTCGGGAGAACAATAGAGAGCTTCAAAAGTTGGTTTGATTCCAAGGACAGAAATGATTTACTTTGATTCTTCCTTCAAACAGTGATGATCTGAAGAGAAAAATTAACAAATAATTAGGAAACCAGTTTGATATTTGACAACATTTGCTTGATAACAGAAATATCAATATTACAATGGCTGAACAAATAGACTTTTCATCAATCAAATTGGTTGAATCTGTTATTAATGATGAAATTCGTGACAAGTGTCGACAATTGTGCAGTGAGTTCATTGCTGGACCATGGAAGGATCTAACGCTGGATGAAATTACTGTAACACCAATCGAGTAAGTGTCAAAATTAACCAGCCTTGTATATAAACTAACAAAACCATTACTTGATTTGTCAATAGAGATGGACTTAGTAACCGCATCTATGCTTGTACTAATTTGAAATTAACCTCATCCAAGCAATCAGGATTAAATGCTAATATTCCTGCCAAAGTGGTAGTTCGCTTGCATGGCAGTTCATTTGTTGGCGATCAAGGTGACATGATTGTTGTTTCAATGGATGCTTTACCCTTAATCGGGGAAAAACTTTACCAGAAAGGATTTGCCCCGAAAATTTATGGAGTTTTCAAAGAAGGCAGAATTGAACATTACATCGAGGTATATCATTTTCAAAATCACTCTCATCTTATCTGAATTTACAAATATTATGGCATCTATTGACGTTTAATAATCGTTCTTTTTTTGATTTATTCAGGGCATAAAATTTCCTCCTGCAACATGGCACAATACTGAGATAATTGATTGTATAATACGAAAAATGGCTGAAATCCATCAGCTGGAAATGCCAATTTCAAAGGATCCCTGTAGTGTGCTGAAAATGGCTGAAAAATTTTATAACCTTGCCCAAGAAAACAATTCATTTTTGTCTGTTGATTGCTATGAACCAGAATACAGGCCTATGGTTCAGCAATTATTGGAATATGATTCAATTGGGACAGCCGAGTGGCTTCGAGATATGGCTCAATACATTAAATCACCAACAGTATTCTGTCATAATGATTTACATTTTGGAAATATTTTAGATCGACAAAATTCTGATTCTTTAGATAAAAGGATTATGATAATTGACTATGATAACTGTAGCTACGGATTTCGTAGCTATGATTTAGCTTTCTTCTTTTACGCCAAAAGCTTCATCCCTGGACGAGCCGAAACTTGGGCAGGCCAAACAATAACCACCAGAGAAGAGAAAAAGCGAATGCTCAAGGTTTATCTCGATCATCTCATTAAAATTCGCGATGGTGATATTGATCCAGAGGTTGACAATTTAGAGAACTTGGAAAGGGAAATTGATTTCGGAGATATACTTCTTCAATTTGTTTTCAAATCCGTAGGTCGAGGTAAAATGAGTCCAGCACTAGCTCCAATTTTTGTAAGTATTGATTAAGTTTAAAAACTTGCACAATTGTTAATAATCTGATATTTTCCTATTTTATATAGCACATCATGTCCGATAATATTGAAAAACAAGATGCAAATGTAGCTGAGGCCAAAGAAAGATGTGAACAGTACAAGCAATCAATATTGTCTGGAACAGGAAAGAAGTCGAGTGAATAAAATTTCTATTATATCTCGTTCGATTGGTAAATTAGCTTTATAATCAGACTCATTAAAATGTTTATTGGTGCATAAAATTTCAACAATAAAAATTGCTAAGAGATTTTTCTCGATTGTTACTGAAAAAATTTGATGAACTGCCTATTTAGTATTAACTTACAGCTTGAAAAGTGTGACATTTTTGCGACTTCTGTTGACTTTTTATTTTAAACTGTCTTTTTGCGTTTTTAAATATCAATATCTTCGTTGTTTTTATTTTCAAATAAAGTAGTAAGCTTAGCAAATTAGAGTTGGGACTTTGTGGGTTTGTGCGGTCATAATAACTGAGCCTATTAGTGTATTAAAATTTTTTCTGATCGGCCTTTTTCGGGAAAATTGAGGTAAACTTCAAAACTTCGATAGCCTTATGTTCAATTATGGAACCAAATTTTTTCATTTGACTCACCCTGAAACGCCATCTATTGGGCAATTAAAAAAATAGAGACTTCCCTCGATTGAATCAGTCGCACATTTTAGAGCAACTTAAATTGTTAAATTACTTGTTTGTTAACCTATGATAGTGCCTGGTCAGATTCTGATGTTATTCAACCTTTCGTAATTTTTGGTCATCCAATATCTATTGAACTAAAAATTATTTCATCTTTAAGTTTCTCTATCCCGCCATTCGGTTCTGTTTGTTATCATATGTTTTTGTCCTGAAGCACATGGTTAAACTCATATTTCGCTCATTTTGAAATTTTGTTACTTGAATCAATTAGTAAGTATTTTTATTCTATTGTTTTAAATTACATGATTTATTATACCATTGTTTTATTTATTTTTTTACTGTCCAGTGAGCTACAGGTCTAAAGATCTTTTATCCTTTGAGCCTAAATCGTGCCCTGATTCATTGTTAATTGTTAAAAAGAACTCTCATAAAAGACCGAGAACTGAACTTAACACCTCAAGAGTGGAAAGCGAACTTATACCCGCTATTCAGAATTTTCTGGAAAAAGTTAAAGCTGAAAGAAACAAAGGACTTGAAGACTGTTCCTCCTCGTCTGAGTCATCAGGTTCTTCGGGATCGTCAGTTGCCACGTCTTCTGGTTATTCAATTGCACGCAGAGATACATCTAATTCTTCTTCTTCTTCCTCTTCTTCCAGTTCGGAAGAAACCTCATCATCAGAAGAAGAGGCTCAACAAGTCCAATTGAACGTATTATTCTACAAACGTGAACACGATTCATCCGACTCCAGTAGTAGCTCTTCTGAAAGTGACTCTGACAGTGATTGATCGCTTCACCAATTATTTTGTAATCTTGTAAAACAGCATCTAATATTCAATATAAATAATGGAGGACTATTCTAATGACCCTGTTCTGAAGAAATTCCCATGCCCTCTTTTTAAAGCTCAAGAGTCCGAACAAAAACGTTTAGCAGCTTTAACTCAAAAAGTTGAACAAGAAAAACTAGCCAAACAGTTAATTAAAAGTTCCTTATCTGGGCAAGCTTTGAACAAGAAAATTGTTTTTGATAATCCAGTCCCATTGGTAAAAGAAGAACCTGTTTCCAAAAAACTATTTGCTGAGGATGAAGATAATGAAGAATTCGGTGGTGACCAATCCTATGAGTTCAAACGTTTCAAAAATTCTAATGAGTCCAAGATAATCGGACTTCAATCAAGATTTGCTCATGATCCTAGATTTAAAATAGATGAAAGATTCATTGATGACGAAGACAACTACGGTGATTATTCACATGAACAAGATGAAGCAAAAAAGGAAGAGGAAAAACAATTAGATATTCTTGAAGAAGTATTAGGAAAACCTTTAAAAAGAAAATACAATCAGCCAGAGGAATCGAAACATAATTCAATCATTATTCCACGTTATGATCCAACCAAGGCTGAATCACAAAAGTTTAAAATACGCAAAGTCCACAAACTTGAACCTTATCAGCTTCCAGAAAATACTGAAGAAGAAAACTCTAAACCCGAAGTTTCAAAAGAACGATTTTATGAGATTAGTGAGACTTTCAAAAAAGATTTCAACGATGATCAGTTTGATGGACAATCCTTCAGTTTAACTAAATTGTTTGGTCGACCAGCTGTTGATTCGACTGTTGAAGCAAAGTTTATCCCGAAAGAAGATCATTCTGGACAAAAATTTAAAAAAGAAAAACATTCTAAATCAGCGCAAGTGGATTCTGATGATGATGAGGACGAGGATGAGGAGGACGAAGACGATGAAGAAGAAAAAGAGGACAATGAGGATGAAGATGAGTCTGATCTTGAGCAGTCTAATGTCCAAAAGCCTATGGCCAAAGCTTCTAGAGAGATGACTGAGAAAGCTGAAAAAAAGAAATCTATTAAAGATGATTCAAGTAAATCTGAATCTGCTCAGGATAAATCGAACAAAAAAATGAAGTTCAGAGAAAATAGCAAAGTATCGAATCCACTTTTGAAATATGAAAGATTTTTCTTCACCGAAGATGATAAACGTTTACAAAACAATACCTTCTACAACAATGAGCGAATAAAATCTCATATTCAGTCATGGAAGGAAAAGAAAATTGTTATGACAACGGTAATTACGACTTATGATAATTCTCACTTTTCAATTTTATTAATTGTTCTTTTTTTTTATTTTCTAAATTTTAGGCATTAACTAAAAAGCGAAGACATTTCAAACACGTTTCCAAATTGAAGACTACTTTAGAAGCTGGCAATCCAAGAGATAAAGATTTAAAGAAAAAATATCGTATTTTGAAAAAGACAACGAAAAAGCATTAATATTTGTTCTCAAATCATGGTTCTGTATTTGCATTAAAAATTAACTCAATAGAGATTTATAATCAATCAATCTTTAAATTGCTTCATAAAGATAAAATAAACTATTTGTTATCAAAGGGTTCTCGAACAGCTTTAATCAAGGTAACTTAAAAACCTAAGGTTAGGTAAGCCGTTGAATTGAGAAAAATTCATTAACCTTGATGAAAAATCAATGGAAAGTCTTATTAATCATCAATTTACTCGAGGCTAAACTCACAATCCATCGGAAAGTAAACATTTTATGAATGATGAATACCTTCAACAGATAAATCAACCTTCTAGATTAATTTCCTTGGATAACTCAGTCTAAATTATTTGGAAAGACGAAATTAGAAGCTAAATTTTTGGAAATCATTTATCACAATTTTCTAGACTAAATGTATAATTTTATTCTCATCTATCAGTTAATTTGATTCGCAAAGAAGGCTGATGAAAACAGGAGAAGTAATTTAGTCAAGTTATCGATAGGTAATGCGAATCATTGTTTCAGCCAAATCAATTTAATTTAATTTCTCTTAAGGTTAATCATCGCCAAGGTTACACCATTTTCTCACTTTAAATATCAAGACTCGTTTTAATGTTGATGGTCATGTATTTTGATAGTCATTTAGTTGAAAGCATTTACTAATTTAACGATCATCTAGTAATCTTGGTGTTCAAGTGTTTTACCCCAGCTTGTGTACTCATCTGGAATTGTGATCATGTTTGTGTTCAGAAAAAGTCTATTCTTTTGTTCAATTATTTTCATCTCTACGTTATTTGATTACAATCATTGTGCCAATATTGAGACAAGTAAGGATAAAACAAATTATGATCAAAATGACGAAGAATGCTATCGAACTCAATGTAATACTAAAACATATTTTGTGATGAAAAGTATTTCCAACCTCCCAGAACAATATGTTTACTGTAAAGACAATCAATATTGTGATTGTTGTATAAGAAAAAATTTAACTAGCCAAGAAGAGAGACAATTAATGGACCAATTGAAGCAACTTAACGAAAAATTGGATCAACATTTGCCAGAAACTATCTGATGGCATAGTGTACAAATCACAGACTTCAACCTTAATCTCAATCAATTGTAATTATCCATCCATTATTTGACAAATACAATAAAAATCGTCATTTTTAACTTTTCCTTGCGCCAGTTTCTTCGACAAGTTGACCAACCATGGTGAATTTGATGATGATGATGATAACTGCAAGTGAAAATGTATAAAAAAAGTTAAGATAATGTTAATCATGTTGACCACAACAATATAAGTTTTCCTGTCTATTGTACTTTCGCTTGGATAAAGATTGGTCAAGTGTTAAAGGTAAAAGCGAAAGCACATAAGACAAAAAAGAGATTTTCTTGAGAAAAAATCTTTTGTTTCGTTTTTACCTTTGCTTTACACAAAGACTTCTTGCTGTCAAGAAAAGATTCAAGTGATAAGTGTAAGTAGGAAGAAGAGGACGAAAAAGATGAGGGAATCACTAAATTCTGGTTGAAATAAAGTTGAATTGATAAGGAATGAACTGCTACTAGACTCTTATTCCTGTTATTACATATCAAACTGACAGGAAAAGATTGTGTTGCTTTGCTCAACTAAAAACCATGTTAAAGGGTTTATACGCACCATAATTATTAGTTTCTGGTTTCTTCGTGACCAAACCAGCCTGACTTGGTTTCAATGTATCAATGATTAACACCTTCACGTTTGGTCTAATCACCAATGATTATTTGTCAGGATTTGTTTCTTGCTTCTGATCGGTGACATTCGCAAAAAATAGACTCAAATTGAACAAGATGATTGGCAGGTTTGATCGCCGTAAGATACATCAAGTAAACATTTTTGAACATGCAATTGGAACCAATGTTTATAATCACTTAACCATTATGATTAAAATAAATATGTAAAGTATTAATAATACTGGTATTCCTTAGCTTCTTTGGTGGTAAAACTGAATCAAGAGTAACTGAAACTTGCAAGAAAACGGTAACATCGTGTTAACAAGGTTCATATGAATAAGAGTAGCTCTACCTAAAGGGTTTGTACTTAAATTGAAAAAATATTTTCAAAAAACAAAATAGTCTACAAAACAATTTTATTTTTTCCTCTTTACGCCAATTAAATAAATGTGAGTAAGTTAATAATATTAAATTAAGTTGACCTTTCGACTTGAAAGCAACGGCTTCTTGAAACTTCAACATCAATGTAAAATTTGATCTGCCGCTCACGAATCATCACAGGATCTTTTGCTTTCTCATCATCTCCATTGTGATCTTCCCTAATATCTTCCTTCTTGTTTCTTCGCCTTTATTTTAGGCTCAAAAATAAGGTTAGTAAACCCATCAAAATGTCAATAACAGTAAACCACGCTTAGGCCTAACATTGCCTAAGGTTATTTTAATGTTAACAACCAAAGGTAAGCTGATTGTTCAATTACATTTGTTGATGACCATTGAATTGGCTTCTAAGAGTTGATCTAATTAATTAGTCTCATATAACACAGTTACAAATAGAGCAAATTTCACAAAATAAAGGTTTCGGTTAATATTTGCACTTCTTCACCATTCCAAATGAATTAGAGACATTTAGTTATGCACTTTAATTCGCCATTTAATTGTACACTCTTTTGAGCTGACAATGAGCAGAGTTAATCATTACAAAAATACTAATAGCAACTGTTTTTAATATCATTATGTTAGGAAAAGTAATGTAATTATCTTACCTTTTTTGTTGAGTAGCTTTTTTGCTTGAAAAAAGATGATTTTGCTTTTAACCCAAAACTCGTTATTTTTTCATTTTTTAACTTCATCATTATCATTATATGAAAATAGATGCATTTTCTTGTTAGACTTTCAATAATACAAAACAAGAATTAACGGAAATTACTAACAAGAATTGTTAAAGTTGCTGATAATGATAGTGACATGGTAAGAAGTGAGAAAAATGTTTCAAAGTTATGATTAGTAACTCTTACAAGCTGTAAGATCTGAAACCCAAATTAGTCCCAAATGAGACCAAAATAAGGCTAAAAGGTCCGAACAAGAAATGAAGTGTAAAAGACATTTTGTTAACCCATTTGCTTATATTTAATGAGAAAATGATTAACCCAGTTAAGTTTAATTCCTAACCCTTTCTTTCTCACTTTTAGCTCAACTTCAATCAATCATGTTCACATTGGTGTTAACCTTTCATCTTGACTGTCGCCATCTTGGTCTTGTTAATATAAATACATTTTCACAGGTAAGGCAACAATTAGACAAACATTGTTATTAATACCAAGTTAAGGTAATGTGTTAAATCCTCGTGCCGGCTTCTTAACAAGTAAATTTAATTAACTTGATTATAGCCATTATATCCCGTTTATTTCATTGAAACATTTCCCGTTTAGATTGAGAGTCTCTAGTGATAGCATTAACTTATTGAGATATTGTTATTGAAATGACTGCCTGAGAATTGATGAAAATCCTTAATTTTAGATTGAATTTTCAATTTCGTTTTCAATTGTATCTCTATTTTTCGGATCAGCTTTCAATACAAAGCAATTTATTAGCAATTTGCTTCTTTTATTAGATAATTGAATCATATTTTGAACGTTGTTTACCTTTTGATAACAATATCAACAAAGCTTTGCCTCTTGATTGTTGCAATTGTTATATTTTAAAAAGAGAGGTTTCAATGGTAACAATTATCAATGGTATTGAAAGAAATTAATAAACAATTAAAGTTGAAAAAGATCTAGACTTGAATGAGCTTCATGATTGTACCTTTACTAACCTGTTAGTCAAAACTCATTTGTTAGTTAGGCCTTACTTTTAGGCAGTTAAACCGTCTTAACGATAGTTCCAACTAGATTAATGTCAATTGAAGGTAAATTAGAAATAGATTGTTCAGATTAAATCAAGTTCTCAATTGAATCCTATTGAATATAACAAATCAATTGAGTGCAAGTAAAGCTAATAAAGATACAGAGTCAATCAATGAAAATCCAATTCTAGGCAAAGTTGATGTTGCATTGAAAAGGTTAACGATTAATCGATAAGATTATTTGTCTTAATTGTTGGAGTAAAAAACGTTTACTACTCTTACCTTTTGTTTTGATATAATCAAGCAATTGTTAATGGAGAAACTATGTTTTAAAAGATTTAACTAAATGATAAAAGCCAATTAACTGATCGTTAGTTTTCAGGAGTCTCAGAAGTCGCCAGGTTAGGCCATCTAGTAAGGAAAAGAAGACTTAAGATTGCAGACGATTATTTTATCAGTTAGCCATTTTAATCTATACTTTATCAAATGTTTACAAGAAGACGACATTTCTTTTAAAATCCTTTCTCTAGTTACTTTCGCATAGTCACTTCACCACTTATCATCGTTACAACTGATCAAACAAAAGTGTTAATTGAGTAAATCATTAAGGATTGTGATTATTCCAGTGAGTTTTAAAGCAAAATTATCTTCACCGAAGAGCTTACAACATTTTACTAACACGAAGATCAAGATTAAGATGTTTACACATTAACAGTTTTCCAAACAGTAACAACGTCAAAAATGTGAATAAATCAAGTTAATTAAGTAAGTAAAATAGCGACTGACCAGTAGTCAAATGTCGGACAAATGTGATTAAATCTTTCAAAATCTCTTTTAATCCACAGATTGGAACATTTGCCTTTGATCTTGCTGTGCGTGTTCATGCAGATTAATTGAAATTTGGAACATGATGAAGACAAAAAAAGCCTTTTGTTGACCCAAATATAAAGCAAGGTGTGAGGCAAGGTGTTATGGATGACAAAGATGGCGATGAGGAAAAGAGCGACGGCCATTGAGATGGTAATGATAAAAGGTGATAAGAGACTGTTTTCAGAGAAAAAGACAAAGTAATTATTAAATATAATTTTCATCTTTTGGTTTTTTCTTCTTGCCTTCATTTTTGTCTGTAAATTACATAGACTTTACAGACTAATATCTAATCAGACAAACTGACTTCTGTGTCCTCTTCATTTCATCATCTCTATCATCACCTTTATTTTTCCTACCACATCTTCCTCCTCCTCCTTATCTCATCATCACCTTTATTTTAGCTTCAAAATGAGCCAAAAAGATGCTTCCAAAATATTACCAATAACTAATGGTAAGGTTGATATGATGACCTAACCAGGAAAATGCGTTTAGGTAATATTTAGGGATTACAAAGTGAAAGTCACTGTGGTCAGTTTTTAACTTATGTTATGATATATTTATAACGGAATGTTAAAGTTAAATCGTACATTTTGTCTTTTTATTTCATCGAGAAGTTGAGGTCATTTGCAAAGGTCTTAAGGTTACTTGGTAAGAGCACTAATCTAATTTTAACGATGCCAATTACCTGACCTCTCATATTTGCTGTTTAAACTCAAGTTGAAATTATATGATCATGAAGGTGACGAAAGGTGAAGAGGAGGAGGAAGAAAAGGTGATGAGAAACAATGGTACATTATTTGAAAAGAGGAAAAAACTGTTAAACTTGAAAACAATTTCAAGTAACAATAGAGACTCTCCAAAATGGACATTATTTAGTCAACTAGGCTTTACATTCATGTCAACATCTTTGGTCCCATCTTTTGTTTGAATACTAACTCTTTTTTTCTTACTTTTCATAGACTGTCAACTTTTAATGACTGTTTGAACCTGTTCATTAAGGCGACTCTAGAAAGAGGTAAAGGTCAAACGCACAAAGAATAGCCATTTTCCTGGATCATTTGTAGGAGTATTTCATGCCTAATCTCGATGTGTATGGTTATACGGTTACTTTTGACTTTTTTGCGGTCAAAGTAATATTTATTAATACATTAAGGGAATGCTCAACACTGGACTTTAACCAAAGCCGTCAAGAGAAGAAGATCGAAGCCTCTATTAAGTCAAATTAAACTGGAAAAAGCTAATGGGTTAGATGAAACAAAATGTGAACTCGAATAAAGCTATGGGTCATTGAACGGAATTGTTTTGGACCAAGCAGTTTGTCAATGATGAGCAAAGAATAAGAATATTGCCAATTGAAAGCCAAAGGTAAACATATGGAGAGTAGGTTAAGGTTCTTCTCTATTTACGTCTTTTTGTCTTCTTACCTGGCGATGAAAATAAATATTGCGCGTGTAAATGATGATCAGACCAATGGGATGAAGCTGGATGATAAGAGTGGCTCGTGCTTTAGATTGATATGCTTGAAAGATTATCTTGTTTTGAAGCACTTTTATCTTCTTCTTTTCGTTTGATTTTTAGCCTTTTTGGTCTCAAAACCAATCATTAAATGGGCGAATTTTAATCCTTACTCTTGATAAGTTTCTAGCCGTCTAATTGATTATTTGAGTTGTTTCATCAAAAAACCGGCCGACCATCAACTAATTACTTTGAGAGTATATCCACTGCAGAAATGTTTTAGTTAATCGAGTTACATCTTCAATTCAGTGGTTTAAAGCTGAATAATTTCGTTAAGAAATAAAACTAATTAGTCAACCATTAGACAATCATTTAACGCATTTTAAATTTAATTTTTCAGTTCCTTTTGTTATCTTCCAGATATCATGCACAGCGAGTTTAACAATTCAATATCCCATTGAGATGAAATTTCAAATGCAAATTACTGGTCAGCTAATCGTGAGTTTCTTGCTTCTAAAGTAGATCAAGGTTAATAAGTGAAAGTTCCTATCGACAGTTAAGAAACCAAATCAACACTTCCAAACAGTTAATTTTGATCACGAAATGTCAAAATTTTCGGTAGCTTGAAACATTGCGTAAATGGACGGTAAAAGATGAGCTTTCAAGAAGTAGCTTTACCATAATTAGTAATTTCATCGCTACTTACTGATTGATGTTGATTGAAGTCACTTGCATTTACTTGTTCTTTCAACTTTCATTAGTTATATTGCAAAAGTATGTTATTTTGAAGTAACCAATTCCCATAACCCCTGGTCAGCAGCAATAGAAGGTAAAGTTTCACGAGTAAGGTTATAAGAAATGCGAAGAAAATGAAACAGCAGCACTTAGATTTTAATTAATTCAATGAATGAGTTAAAATTTGTACATGCATTATACAATTTGAACATTTGCAGAGGTATGATAATTAATCTACTTGACAAATCCCGCAATTTTTCACAAAACCCAGTCACTTGCCTTTTTTATCATCCACTTCATCATTGTCATTTAATTGTGTTTTTTTACACAAAAAATAAACTTCGTTACGCGTCTTTTAATTCACCAATTATCTTCTTCATCTTCTTGCCTCTAATTATCAAGGCTCACAATTGATCGGCTCAATGATTACAACTTGACTTGATCTTCGCCATCGTCTTCGTCTTATCCATTTCTACATTTAACCTTGTCATTGAGCCCAGGTCAATAACAGCTCAATTGGTATACAATTATTCATTATTTATTTACATAATAATTCAACTGTTAACTCTATCCTTTTTTTACTTCACCATAGGTCACAATTCAAAGCTGGAAGATCCACCGACCTCCAACAATGGCAGCGATCAAAGGACAATTTATTATTAACCATGGAAAGCAAACAAAAGGAAACTTCAACAGCTACCTGTTGATACAATTAGCCATTTGAGATATTGCCATTTCAAACTGAAGGAATGATAAATGTCCACAAATTTCGATGAAATATCTATTAAGAATCACCAAAGATGGACACAATTCACCAAAATTCACCACAATTGAAGACAGTTGAAGTAACTTAAGAAGTACTTACCATAGGAATCTCAAAATTTCTGTTTACCTTTTCTTGTTGCTTACAAATTTCTTCTTAACTTTAACATTCTATGTTAGTTCAGGTCAGTTAGGGTGAAAGAGATGCAGACAGGGTTGGTCAGCACAAATTGTTTAAAGCATAATTTTTCAATTCGGTGTTGTTATTCAAATTAATTTGGATCACACTTTAATGAGCACAAATGAGACAAACCGCTATAATCAAATTAAAATTGATAACAATTATCTAACCTAAAGTCTAATTTTAACAATCATTACAATAATTACAATTGCAAAGTTAATTTAGATCACAACTGATTGCTACTGTTTATAAATTGCAATTGATAAAGGCTAATTGAAAATCATTTGAAGATACAAATGTAAAACAATTGTAAAGCTTACTCAACTGATAAATGAATTTTGTCCCTCATTTCATTGTAATAATTTCAGTCGTATTTTGAAGTTATATATTGTGATAATTTATTGAATTATTTACATAACTTTGATTACATATACAATATTTAATATTACAATATAAAAATATTTAAAAAAAGATAAAAATTACGTAAAATATCAACTTTTTATACACAAGTTGAAGCTGGTGTTAAGGCTCTTCCAGGTATTGAATCGGAAACCAACATTTCATTGAGCAATGCGATATAAGTTTGTGCCATTTGAAGAGTTTCATATTTGGACAATTGTCTTTTAGCATCGGGAAGCTTTGGGACTTTATTCCGTAACATATCAAAGGCCACATTAAGACTCTTCATTCGCTTTCGTTCTCGAGCATTTGCGGCCATTCGTCGCTTCTTAGTAGTTGTCGATGGTAATTGTTTGCTTTTATGCGATTTACTCAATTTTGATAATAAGCTTTCGTTTTCACCTATTAAACAAAGTAGAAAAAAGTTTTAATTAGAATTTTTCATAAAATGAGTTGAGTGTTTCAACATTTTAACAGAAATTTAGAGACAATGGTCATCAGTTGGGAACATTATTAGACATTGTGAATTAACTTGTTAACTTAATGCACCTATGGATCCATATCGATCATTTTACAATGACAATTACTACAATTACTTTGTTTCAGTAACAGCAAGTCTTGTACAAAATAATGAAGATACTCAAGAACGAGACAGAAAGTTTCAGAAAATGTTCAAGATTTGTTATTACAATACAAAGGCCGCTCAACAATTTAAAGTGATCAATCAAGTAATGGCAAGAACAAAAGAGATCAAAGAAACCATGCAATTAACCTTTAACCTGTTAGCACCTTATTTACTCTGTTAACTGTCCCATGCAAGATATCCAAGGGTTAATATTTTATTTTCAATTAATCTCAGTCAAAAGCTAAACCTCACATGAATAACTACTTTCATTGACATGCAATCCAAGTAAAATTCAACTAGAATAATTGTAACCATGAGCAATTTGAGTATCACATACATTTGAGTAAGTTAAATATTAATCAAAAGATACAAATTGATTTTCTCCCAATTTTAGCTTCAATGATCACGATGTTTATCATTACTAGATGAGCTTGGCTAACTTGTTCACCAAAAAGGATTGCTACTAACATTGTAAGAAAAGTTTGTTGCTCAAAGCTAAAAAGAGTTCATTTTTTATCCTTTTTTCACAAAAAATCCTCAACATTTTGGATGCAAAACACATAATTGACACTGAAAACGCAATCAGGTCATTAGACTAAACGCTTTAAGAACTTTTTCTGTCAGTCCATTCATCAATCAAGTAAGGATAAACAGAATGAAATACTCAATTATTTTCTAAATGATTAACAATGACGAGTAATTGATAAACAAGTTAATCACTAAATTCATTTTAGATAACCATGAACTAGATCCATTCCAAATGACTTTTTTCAAAGGGCACATGTCTAGAGGATTTAGTTGACCAACTTTACTAATATTGAATAAAGAGGGTTAATTGAGCTGAAGTAACTTTGACAATACCTTTAATTGGTGATGAATTGGACGTTGTTGTTGAGATTGTAGATACTTGGGTGGATGATGAGTATTCAGATGATGTTAATTGCGTTGAAGTGGTTGAAAACTCTGTAGACGTTGAGAAAATCGACGATGTACTGGTTTCATCTTCCATTTTGAGCCAATAATGTTTATTCATCTCCATATTGGTGTTGAATAATGGTGCCAATGCCAGAGACATTCAAAAATAATGATGGATACGCACAAGGAGTAAAAAAATGGGTAAAAATAAAGTAAAGTTGAGAAACGAGTCTAAACCAAAGATACAAAGGAAAGTAAAAAAAGGTCAACTTGTAGATTGAAGTTAAGTTTGCATCCAAAAGCCAAGCAATATTCAAAAACTAGAAACAAATAAACATAGGTAAGAAGAGAGAGTTTTTAGAGACGCCTTTTGTACTCCAAATGTTACCTGATTGGATATAGAACAACATGTTTACCTGTGTTTTCAAACGGAGAAGCGCCATCTTTACCTTTGCCATCGTCTTCCAGAATATATTTTAATATGCAATCCAACCCAAGGTGATAATAATGCAAGACTTGAGATTGTTTATGATGATAATTCAAGCAATTATCGAGTTAATCTGAAAAGGTAAATGCATAAATTAGAAATAAGTTGCAGATAGATTAAATGAACAAGATAAAATGCAAAGTTATTAATTGATCATTTATATTTGTCTTTTAGCGGGTAAAATGGCAATAACAAGGAATGAGTCATTCAGACGAGGAGGAGGTTAAGGTGGAGAGATGAAGAGTAGTGGGAGGATTTAACATAACTTTACTCGTCATGCTGGAATAAATTTTCATCTTTGCCATCATAATCATGATCGTAATTAAAAAAAGTACAATCAAAAAGTGGTAACATTGTTGTCTCTGTTTGTTGATGTGTAATTTTACTTTCATTGGTATTTTATTTTTACCTTTTATTTTCCATTAAATCCAACTTGTCCATCTTTTTAACCTGTCAATAGCAGTGTTGGGCCTTTTTAACCTTAAACATTTATTATGTAGATATTCAAAAAGTCATAATAATGATGGTAATGATTAAAACGGCAGATGATACCAAATGATGCGTATTAAAATGATGATGATGATGATAAAAAGAGGTATTTTTCGATGGCGTGTGTCAAGAAACGTAACCAAACATCATCCATTGTTGGGTTGCTTGTTCACTTTTTATCCCGTTATTTTGGTTTCTCTCAATTGAAAGTAAAACAGAAAGTGTTGCTTGTACTTGACCCAAATTTTAATGTCCAGGTTGAGTTTGGTTTTATCGAGTGGTGTCGATGGAAAGGTGATGAAAGATGATTACAATAGCTGTTTCCTTTTATGTTGAAAATTATACTGTTGAAGGGAAACACTTTGTCCACTTCTGTCCAAGATTTTGGACAAAAATATTGCTAAAATTACAGTTTTTTTGCAGGTTACAGGATTTGAACGGCTGAAGGAGGAAAACCTAAACAAGAAAAAATCAAAAATAATTTTCTCTAGAGGAAAGAAACTGCTAGAAGATTTGGCTTAAAGAGTTAGACAAAGATAATGCGTAACAATGTCAAATCTTATTCCAGTCTGCAAAGTCTAGGCGCCATGTTGGCTAGACTTTTTTAGACAGTTATTGTTGAAAGTGTAAAATGAACAGTTTAGTCAAATCTTTTTAACAAACCAGTGAATCTATCTCATTGTGCAAAATAATTGATTGAATGAACTTCTAATGATCATGGCAAGTGTTCAAAATTCATTGTCAACAGATACGCTGTTGTTTGCATAAGACGTTCAGATGGTAAATTATTACGGTATTTCAAAAATTGATGATTTCAACGATTATCTTCAAGCTGATTTTGAATTTGGAAAGACTCATGCTGTTGGAATTATGTTTTGTTTTATAAAGGTATGTATGGACACTTACATTGATTCTGACACTGATTAATCATTTAGGTTCACATAGTCTTTCAGCTATTAACATTAGCAGTTATCATAGCATCACATTTGTGTCGTTTTGTTGTCCATGTGAGAAAGAAATGACCGAAAAGATGAAATTTAAATATTCTCACCAGTACAGTTACATGTATTATGTTTGCAAGTGCAATTCCGACTATTGGCATTTCTCGACTAAAAGTTGATTGTTTCTCGTTGACCTTAGGCTAATTTTGGTAGGAGTTGTTGAAAGTTAATCTTATTAAGGTTAACGATTGCTACTCCTCCTTTTTTGGTGGTGTACAGTTCAAAATACTGAGAACGATGATAGGTGATGGAAGGTGAAGGTGAAGATGATGATGATTATGGTGGTGAATGAAAGAGGAGGTGAAAGTGGAGGTGGATATGGTGTTAAGAGTGTGTATAATTTGAGGTGAAAAAGTAGAAAACTGTAAAATTTTCTTCTTTATTTTTAAATGAGGAGTTTGAAGATATCGTTAAGACAATTCTAACTGCTAATCTTGACATTTATTTATGATCAACTTGCAAACTAAAATACCTTTAATGGTCTCTCTTTTAAATTCTATTATATGCTATTAGCAACCTTCAAATGTTAATATTTAACTCGATTAATCAATATGTTTCTCTAAATCACCTTTTATTTACATTTCTTGACTATTAGAAGGATTCAAGGATGGTGTTATAATGGCTTCTCTAAGGACTTCTAGTGATTAAAGTGGGTTAATGAAAGAGTCAATGTTTGCCTGAGAATAGGTGCAAAAAAGCAAATGAAGCTCTTTTCACAGCCAAGGTGCTATTTACCCATTCAAAATGATCTCAAGTAAAGTTTTTGGATTTCAATGCGAGTCTGTTAATAAATCATTCACACTCACTTGTCAATTGTTTTGGTCATTGGAGCTCTTTTGTTTGACCGATATCGGCTTGTTGACTTCACCTGTGGGGAATATGTTGATGAACTGTTTGATAAGTCGCGATTCAAGACTGGATGTTGAACAATCAAATCAGAATGGTTCTTGCAAACGGATTAATCAGATGGCTGACTTTTTGATTGTGGCGCATTTAAACCTTGAAACTGTCTTCGTAACTGGAAACTGTATTGAACTCAACCTATGGTAAAGGTCGCTATACAACTTGCGGGTCATTGATCGATATTGTTTTGGTTGAAGGTATGGAAGCATGAAATTTGTCATTTCCAAGACAGTTTGAAGACCAAGAAAATAAAATGGAAAATGGCGAATAAGAATAAGATTAAGGTTGAAAGACAAAAAAAATAAAGGTAAACATATGGAAAGTGGGTTAAGCGAAGGATCGTTTCTTTTTGTTTCTAGTATTTCTGTTTATGATGAGCACGCGTAATAATGATAATGGGTCCAATAAGATGAGCTGATGATGATGGTAATAAAGATGAGGATGAGGAGAGTGTGACTCGTGCTCTTGATGGTTATGCTCTGAAGCATTTTGCAGCAACAAACCAGTCCATTGAGCCCAACATCTTAAAACAGCCCAATGAATGTCTATAAAGAAACTATCGTCTCTAGGATGGTAAGAATTGAATCCATTTCTATAATTGAAATAAACCGAAACTGACCAAATTGAATAACACTGCAAATTGATACAAGCTTGTCGAACAAATTAAATAACAATTTTCTTGCATAAAACAAGAAGATGTTAGTTCAGATAACTCAGTGGTTATCATCAACTGAAATGTACATTTGATGGACATTTTTTCCGTTGAAATAAGAAATCATTTTGAAATGGAAGTAAGGATTTCATTCTCCCATAGCTTTGCTAATGATTGCTTCTTCAATGAAAACGATGAAATTTATATTTGTTAATCTTGCACTAACCTTCATTGCTACTTACCTTTAATCAAATTAACAATACGTGATTTGCATTGCCACTAATATTAGCTAATTAAAAGTTGATTCCTTTGACTTTACCTGTTTGATTATTCGTGTTCATTTGCGTTATATCAGTTGATGATCTTTCTTGGGAACCTAAACCAATAGACCATTAACTGAGATTTTGTTAGTTAAATTAACATCAATGTAATGTTATCCCAAAGGTAAAATGAATTATCCAACCATTAAAATGTTGATATATACCATAATTAACAGTCTTTCACTTGCATTACACTAATAATAACCAAAAGTCACAATGCTATTGAATATGAAAATGATCTTTCAGTTGTTTCTTTGATTAACTGACAAACCTTTCAAGCTTTAAGAAATTCTGACAATTGTGAGTATAAGTTGTTGATTAACACAGTTGATAATGTTTGGTCTGTCTTCCAATCACTCATGAAATTTAATACTCAGAAAATTAAATTAAAATTATCAAATGTACTGAAGGTATCAAACCTAATTGATAAAATCAAACAACTAAGATCATACCGATAACTGTTATTAAGTCTATTAATGTCATTTTTCTCCTTTCTTTTCATTCATCATTTTAGTCAGCATCTTTACATCTTATCCTCTCATCATCACTTTTATCGTCATATATCTATAAGACAAAGAAAACATGAGAAGCCGAAGGAACGCGATGACCAGCAAGGGACGAGAAAGTCAGATGAAGACAAGGCAATGAATGAAACCTTAGCCGAGTTTTATGTTTCTGCAGATGAAGAGGACGAAATCAGATATCGTTTGTCAATCGATTGTCATGATGATAACTGTTCATCAAAGTAACCTTAGATAACTCAAAGGATTGTTGGAATTGAAAGAAAGACATTTACAAGCTAAAATGTAAAAATTTTGACAATCTATTTTGTTTTCAACTCGTTTTTTTTACATAAAAAACAAATGCAAACATTGATCGAAAACACTCTTTTAGCTTGTTAGTTTATTACATCTGATTATCTCTCGACCGCAAACTTTTGCTATTTTCATCCAATGCTTGTAACTCTTTCACTACAGAATAGATTAGACAATTTAACTTTGATTGTTCACTAATCAGTTATCTGCAATGATCAATTTTGTTCATTAATATCTTATTTTTTAAAAACATGGTGATTGGTCAAATATTTTTGCCCAAATTGAAACAAAAGCCAAACATTCCAAATAAGCTAATTAACTACTAATTATGATCCAACTAACTCAGTTCTGTTATTTTCCAGTTACAAATATAAAAGTCTAGGATTGGACTATGATCCAAAAAAAGCCAAACTGTAAATGTGACCTGCAGAGTGACTCGTGATTATCATGTGAAGCTGATGATAGTTTGTAATCATTTTTCAATTGTTGAACATTTCGTATGGTTTAAGCATAAATGAAGAGATACATACATCTATTAGCCTGTTCCTTAACACACAAAAAAGGCCGATAAGGAAGACGATGGAAAATAAAGAAGGAAGAAGAAGAAGCCTGAAAATCAAATGATGTTCATCGTTATTGCTTCTTAAACACATTAAGTTGAACATCATCATCACCATCAACATTTGATCTCATACAGAGATACATATTGGAGTCACCAAGGCCAAGGCCATTTCCATGTCCATTGATGAACCCCAGGTAGTTTTGGTCCTCATACTTGGCCTATTACTTTCTCTTTCACAAAGAAAGTAAAACTTTCTCTTGTTGGTCATTCACAATGATCATTTGTAAAGTAACAATGTTCAACAAATGAAAATTATGATGAATTGCTTTTCAATGGACAAGAATTGATTTTGAAACAAGCAAAAAGAAATGGAAGGAAAAAAGCTGAAGAAATGATGAAAAAAGTGAAGAAGCAAAAGTTTATTTTAAATTATTATATTTTCTGAGTAATCATAATTCACTTTGTCATTCACTTGAAAGCAAACTGACCATACGAAGGGGGCCAACATCATCACCAGCTACATCATCTTCCGTTTCAATCCTTTCAACTCTTTAACCAAAAACCAGAAAATCCATTTACTCCTTCTTTTCACCTCAACCACAAACTAAAAGGTTAATTTTAAAAGCTTCAAAACATGATAAATGGTAAATATCATCATCACCATTACATTTTTTTCATTCACTTTTCATTATTTCTTTTTTTCTTCTCTTCATTCAGGTAATTCATGAACCTAAAGATATTGATATGATAATATATTGATAAATAACAATGAGATTTGTCGGCTCAATTTCGGCTCAATCAATCGATATAATTTGCTCAATGTTGTGACCAACCTCTAACCTGCCGACTGGTTAATCTAATTTTTCGGCTATAAATGGATTTATGAATTATTGTGATTAACCTTGATTATTGTTGCTGTTATTGTTAACTTCAAATTTCAAAGGATTTTCAAAATTGTCTTGTCACAACAACCTATTATTGTTATTATCGACATCATCTCATCGTTTTTGTCCCGTCAAAGTGAAAAGTGAAAGGCTTATGAATCCATGCAACAATGGGTCAATGCTGATTATATTAAAAATGAATAGTTCTGGTTTATCTGTCTAATCATAACGGTTTACAACAATAACCAAATTAGGTATAATCCGATTACAATTGAATTCAAATTCACCTTTTAACCTTTCTGCATTTCCTTTATTTTCTAGTTTTGTATTGATCATAATCATTCTGGTGTTAAATTGTCTCCAAATAATACAATTTAAAGATAAACATTGACATTGTTTCGGAATGAAAACATTACGAGTTAAGTGTAAGATCTTGGTGAATGACCATTATATTACTGGGTATTTCAAGTGAAAGACGGTCCTCTGTTTTTATCAATGGTTAACCTGATTTGCATATGAAATGACCAAGTTTACACTTGTTTGTTACCTTGTTTAATCAAGTTATCAAGTTTATCGAGTTACTTAAAAGGACTATTTGGTTAACCTGTTGAATGTTTGATTTTTATTTTGCCTTTGAAGAGCAATATTTACTTGGTAAAGTTATCTATTGAAATATCTCAATTTTTGTTTCACCATTTCGATTGAGCTGATTGAAAATTATTAGCTGTTATTATTTATTTAGTAATCAACAAAATATATCATCTTGGACTTCAACATTTAAATCGATTTTGTATGGCAATAAAGATGGACCAAGAAGCAAATTGAAAAACGAAAGTGATGACCAACTGATGGGCTTTTTATTATCATTATTGGACAATCATTAAACCTCAAAACATGAGATTCCCATTTTGTTTTATAATTGGTAAACAATTTAAAGTCGATTAACACAACCATCATCTTTATTCAATGACACTTTCAATGGAAACGATATTTAATTAACTGTTAATTGCTACTCAACTTTAGACATCAAAATTCACCTTCACCCAACAATAATCTTTTACTATTTGGCTGTAAACTTTATTCCCATATATTGTTTCTAGGCTTGGTCAACCCATAAAGGTTGAAGGTTAACCTTGATTTGGATCGTTTGTTGGGAATATTCAAGTAAAATGAAGATGATAAAGTGTTTGATATCAACTGAAAAAGATGATCATTGTTTAGCTTCTTGAACACAAGCAACGATTATTACAGACGCAATGTTAACGATATAAACCTTGAAATGGTGAAAAACTGTGAAATTTGTTCAGTAGAAAGGCAATTTTTTGGTGGTTACTTCAAAAGTTTGGTAAAAATAAAAGACATAAACAAGTTACCTTTCTTACTTCTTCACCAACAACAGTCTCTGAAATTATCTTACCTTAAATGTTCCTCATCTTTTGTTAAACTTGGTATTCTTTTCCTAGTTGGTATTTCTTTCAATGATTACGGATGAATTTAACTGATCAATGTGAACATCATCTCAATCATCATTATTTTTTTACCTTTTTCTGGATCAACTTGTTTTACTTCATCTCTAACAATACTGTTGATGTTTTCATTATTACTTTAACTCATTCAATGGTGTTCCTTCAACACTCAATGAAAGTTAAGCTGAAACATTTTTTACTAGGTGTAAATTAACTGTAATTGTGTTACTCTACAATTATCAAGTTGTAAGCAATTATTACCAATTGCATTTGAAAAGATTGATTATTGGGATCATAATTTAAACTCGGTTAACTATGGATCTTTGATCAACCTTTAACTATTATATTTATTGAACATTTCAACTATTGAAAAAAGACGCAAATAGCTACTAAATTTAGATGATTATTAACAGCAATTTATTGTGATGAGTGTTTGGCATCGCTTGAGTTTCACTGTAAATTTCAATTCTGGTAAAATATTTATTGTGCTATGCAAACTCGAGATGTATCAAACTGTTTAATTACTGCCAATTACTTTTGATGTCTTCAACAATAGCAAGATAAATGTTAACTGAAGTAGCTACAATTAGACGATTGATTAGCATTTCATATACCTTTGATTCAGGTCAATGCAAATGTTATTGATCAATCAACTAACAGAGAGACTTTGCCTTTTGTTGTTAATATTGAAATGACCTGAGGCAGTCTCAGGCCTAAGCGTGGTTTACTGTTATTGACATTTTGATGGGTTTACTAACCTTATTTTTGAGCCAAAGATGAAGGTAAACTAGAAGATGATGTTGATGATGGAAATGATGATCCGTGAGCGGCAAATCAAATTGTATAGTGATGTTGATGAAGCTTAAAGAAGCTGTTGTTTCTCAGGTTGAAAGGTCAATGTTATTTAATATTATTAACCTATTAGCTTATTTACATTGATTTAAATTGAAATGAAAGGGCAACAATTGATTCATTGGAAATGTAATTCAGTTGAACCAAGAAGAAGAAGAAGAAGAAGAAGATATAATTTAATTGTTGTTAACCACAATTCAACTGTCGGTTAAAGTAAATATTATATCGCAATGGAGACTCAAAGTTAATCGGTTGACCACCAAAGAAGAGAGTAAAGTATTACAAGTAAAGGAGTAAATACATTGAAGATTTACGTGTTTAACTCAATTTAATGGTCAGAATGATCATGATGATGATCACTTGATGATAATAATAAATATCGGGTTAAATAGACAATGATAAGGTCAACACTATTAATTATCTATTTCAGGCCAATCACACCGAGTTGGTTAAAAGTGTCGTCAAAACGGTAAAGAGGAAAATGCTTCTTCTTCCAGTTTATTTTCTTGTCATCAAAGTTGTCCGTTCAATTAGTCCAGTTAAACCATAATGCTTGATTAACACGTCTAGTAAAGCCGTCATGAAATTAAATTGGTCAAATTATCAAAATTTTGCTTCCAATCACAAAATAATGTGTTGATCCATTGAAAATCATTTTGGTTGATCATTGCTTCTGTTACCAGCTTCCAAAATCCGTTTAAATGACAATCTTGACCATCTAATCTGTTCCTTCATCTTTTATCTCAATCTTTCATCTTCTTTACCTCTAAGAAAAGGTAAAAAAGGTTAAAAAAGTAGAAAAAGTAAAAAACGTAAAAAAGGTAAAAAGCAAGTGAAATTGAAAAAAAACTCTTTAACCTGTTGCTTTACTGACCGACCATTTCCTCCGAAATGGAATCTGTTCAAGTGAATACAATGAAACTAAGGGTAAAATTATCAACAGGAAAACTTAATTGTTGTGGTCACTTGAATAACATTGTGACAATATTACCTGAGTTTCCTACTTTCACTCACAATTATCATTCCCTTAAGTCTTACCTTAAAAAATGATAGACAATAAATAAACCCATTAAGAAACTTACCCAAATAAAACGTCCCTTCACAAAAAGAACCGTCTCTGGAACACAATCGCTTCGATGTCAGATTTTAACTTTTCAATGATTTTTTATATTAAAGCATGATTATATAATAGTTGATGAATTATGTGGGTTATATTAAAATTTATTTCAAGTAACATAAATAAGAAGTGTAAAGTATGCAAAGGATTGAACAAATTTTCCAAAAATGAATAGAAACAGTTTGACTAGACTTTCCAGCTTGACAGGCACCATTCAACCGATAAAATAAAGATTTACTTTGCCGAAATATTTTATCAAAAGTCATCCAGTTCCCAAATCTATGGCACTAAATAGACACACAATTCAATGGTAAAAATGTTGCTTTCTTCTTGTTTAGAAGATTGAAGTATTAATACCTTTACTTTAATATCAGCATTTCTCAAAATTGATAAAAAACTCGGCTCGACAAAACTTATTGCACAAGTCAGTTAGAGTTCAAACAACAGAGGCCTCAAATTTACGACGAAAAATTTTATTCAAATTCAGGTAAAAAAGATTATGATTAGTGATCGATTCGTTTAATTGCATAAACTGTAAAATTCAATTCAATGCAAACAGTTTTCATTTTGAAAAGCGCGCTCCTCTATTTACAAATCATTTTCTAGTCTATTTTAAGAGTAAAAAAGAGGTTTCCAAAAGTGAACTTCTTGGACCTTTACAGCTCTTAATTTTTTGTTTGTTACTTGTGTATTTTTCCAATTGTTCAAGTCCGAATTCAAGACAAAATATTGTCTGCTAATTAATCTGACCAATCAAGTGAATCACCAAGATGAACCAAACACAATAATCAAATTAGTTACATTTGTATATGTTGAAGTACCTTGAAAAGGAGGAAAAGTGAAAGCTTTTCAAGTACTTTCATCACGTAAACAAGGTAAAGGTGATGATGATAATGATAATGATGAAAAGTCAACTTTGCATGACGACTCCAACCATCCTACAACTCTTCATCTTTCTGACTCAACTCATCAATTTGCTTAAAAAATCAACAAAAAAAATATAATGATCAATTCATATCTTATCATTTCATCAAATGTTCATCCAAAATCTATTCCAAATGATACGCTATTCTGAGGAGTTTAGTTATCATTGAAACAATCTTACAAATTACAATGATGCTTAGTTTAATATTAAGTTGAACGATGGAGGGACTGGCAAAGATGGCGCTTGTTTACCTGAGGTTTCCAACACAGGTAAACATTTTGAACCAATCAGGTAACATTAGGAGTACAAAAAGGCGTCCCTTAAAACTCTCCCTTCTTACCTATGTTTATTTGTTTCTAGTTTATCAACATTGGTTAGTATACAGACTTACCTTTGTGATACAAGTTGACCGTTTTTTACATTTGCTTTGTATTTTTGCTTCATTTGGTTCAATTTTTTTACCCTTTTTGTTTATTATTTTTCTTGTATTTTGTTTCATCTTTTATTTATTAATAATTTCAAATTTTTCATCTTTCAATATGGACTTAAACAAGGAATTGAATTACTGGTTAAAAATGGAAGATACAACATCATCGACCCTTTCAACTTCAACTCAATTTTCATCATCAACTCAACTTTCAACAATTTCAACTAGTTCATCATCGATCAAAGGTAAGATGAATGTTTAAAAATGCCTCAAATTTTCATCTCTAAACTCAATTGTTTACTCTATTGCTTACCTTTGAAATATTGAAACTTAGTTTTTTTAGTCAACATTCATTTCATGTAATCTTTAGGTCATCAAATATCGACTTTTGAGTTAATGAAAATAGCCTTTAGTATCATGAAATCAAATGCCAAATGCTTAGTATTATCTTGGAGCTACATTTGATATTTAATGACATGTTTCCACGGAATTAAATTTAGAGCAGAGTGAAGGAATTGACTGGACAGAGGTCAGTTTTTTATTGCAAAATATGTAATTTTGAAGTTTAACAAAATGACTTTCAATATTTCTTACGCCTTCTCGGGCAACTAAGGTCAAAGCAAAAGGACAATAACAATTTTGAGTGTTAAGAAGAGAGGTTTTCTTGGTCAAGATTTTTTGTGGATATTTTTCTAAATTCACTTTTCTTTTCTATTTCATCAGGCAAAACTGAACTATCAAGTAAAACTCACAAAAGTAAACAAATGCCTACAGTGACCATGAAGAAACGTCGTATGGCTGCAAATGCACGGGAACGAAAACGAATGAAAAGTCTTAATGTGGCCTTTGATATGTTAAGAAGTGTTGTACCAGATACTCAACGTAAATTGTCCAAATATGAAACTCTTCAAATGGCTCAAAAATATATAGCTTCTCTAAATTTTATATTAATGAGTGATGCATTACCTACTGGAAATTTAACGCCAACCTCAACTTGTGCATAAAAAAGTCGCTATTTTACATCATTTTTATCTTTTTTTAAATATTTTTGTATTGTAATATTAAATATTGTATATGTAATCAAAGTTATGTAAATTATTCAATAAATTATCACAATATATGAAACATCACAACATAAAAATATGACTAAAATTATTATAACATGGCCAGAATGAATGAGGGATGAAATTCATTTCGAAATAAGGAGTTGGATAAGCTTTTCAATTGTTTTACATTTCTATTTTCAAATTAGCAAATTTCAAATTTCAAATACTCAATTAGCCTTTATCAATTACAATTCAATAACAGTAGCAATTAGTCGGATCTAAATTAACTTTGCAATTGTAATTATTGCAATGATTGTTAAAAATTAGACTTTTGGTTTGATAATTGTTAATTTGATTATAGCGGTCTGTCTCATTTGTACTCATTAAAGTGTGATCCAAATTAATTTGAATAACCACCACACCGAACTGAAAATTATGCTTTAAACAATTTGTGCTGACCAACCCTGTCTGCATCTCTTTCACCCTAACTGACCTGAACTAACATAGAATGTTAAAGTTAAGACGAAATTTGTAAGCAACAAGAAAAGGTAAACAGAAATTTTGAGATTCCTATGGTAAGTACATCTTAAGTTACTTCAACCGTCTTCAATTGTGGCAAATTGTGGTGAATTGTGTCCATCTTTGGTGATTCTTAATAGATATTTCATCGAAATTTGTGGACATTTATCATTGCTTTAGTTTGAAATGGCAATATCTCAATGGCTAATTGTATCAACAGGTATCTGTTGAAGTTTCCTTTTGTTTGCTTTCCATGGTTAATAATAAATTGTCCTTTGATCGCTGACATTGTTGGAGGTCGGTGGATCTTTTCAGCTTTGAATTGTGACCTATGGTGAAGTAAATAAAAAAGGATAGAGTTAACAGTTGAATTATTATGTAAATAAATAATGAATAATTGTATACCAATTGAGCTGTTATTGACCTGGGCTCAATGACAAGGTTAAATGTAGAAATGGATAATAAGACGAAGACGATGGCGAAGATCAAGTCAAGTTGTAATCATTGAGCCGATCAATTGTGAGCCTTGATAATTAGAGGCAAGAAGATGAAGAAGATAATTGGTGAATTAAAAGACGCGTAACGAAGTTTATTTTTTGTGTAAAAAACACAATTAAATGATGATGACGAAGTTGAAAGTAATGAGTAAAAGGAGGGAAAAGTAAAAGTTTTGACGATTATTATTCATCAAAAATAAAAATACTAATCTAACTGTAAGTACGTGCAATGAAAACTGATTGTGGTTCCATCATGCGAAAATATTTTTTCAACAATTTCAAAAACCTTTCCTCTGTCAAGATTGATTCAAGAATTCTATTAGCAAATTATATTTCTAACCAAAAATTAACCTTCATTTCATTACAAAAGAAGTAGACATTAGTGTTTTAATACATTGTTAATTGTACCTTCCGTATTAACCTTTTGACCGAGGGTCAATCAAATGGGTTTGGTTGAGGTTAACATATTTTTTTGATGATCATTATTGATGACAGCTAAAGGAGCACCCAAATTTATTTGATATTAGTGATCCACAATCAACATCAATCAGTAGGAATGATGAGCGCACTAATAATTACAACTTTTCATTTGCAATGTAAAAAAACTGAGCTAAATTATTTTGTTATTAATGTTAACTATTTATATAACTAAAGGTGCGGATGTATTAAAGTAGTAAAGTACTGAGTAATAGTGTTGCACAGTATTCATCATGTCATCAAGTAATTTAATTAAATACTCATCTTGCTATTGTGTAAAAGATGTATCCATATTGCCATATTACACTGATTATGAACAAGTCTTTGTATTTTATTGATTGGGTACATTGATTGTTACGATGGTTGTTGAGAGTCGATTTTTGTGCGTGACAACACGTTAACTTGATCATGTTGATTATGGCGATGATTACCATGATGATGATAGAGAGAATTGAATTTGTCTGAAAGAAGAAGAAAAGAAAAAGATAAAACGGCAAAACAGTAAAAATAGACATAATGTTTGAACAAGACTTGTGAATAGCATTGTGAGAGTTTGTTAGAGAACAAGAAAGCAAAGAAGTAATTGAAATACAATTTGATTTTAATTTCGGGTTAATGTTGCATTACCTTAGCCTTTTGGATACGAGGTTAAAGTTGATGTTAATAGATTGATAATGATATTGTTGACATTTGAAACAGTAAAAAAACAATATTGAGAACAAGAGAACAAGAGAAAAACAAAGTTGCTATAGGCAATTGTAGGTTAGAGATGAAAGAAGAAGATTAAAGTTTACCTTTTTCTTTAAATAGTAGGAGTAAAGATGATGATGATGATGATGATAGTGATGATGGTGCATATGCATATGAATGACAAATGAAAGGAAGATGTTATTTTAAAAATGAAATGATAGTAAATTATGAAGGAAAAGTCAAACAATTGTTGAACCAATTTTCTTAACTCTTTACCTTTTTTTTCTTGCATGATTATGTTCAACTCAAAGTGTTTCTTTATGTGAGGTCTATGAAGTCTTCTTCCTCCTAATTTTTCCTCATTTCAATCTTTTATTTTCAATACCAGCATTACAAAATTTAACTGTGATTTAGACAAAACAAACAAAAGGAAACAATTTATCAATAAAATTTATTAACTTGTAAACTTGTAGACACACTCTGGAGGGGAGACATTTTCCGACACCAGAGGGAATCACTCAACAGGAGCACTTTTTGATATCGATACGATATCAGATTTACTTTATAATTTGAAAAAAGTAAATCTTTAAAATCAAAATAAAAACCTTAATTTTTTGATTTATTACAAATTTAATGTTTCAAACTTCACCTCAGTTTATTATTTTTCTTACATTGTATAGCCTCAATTGTATTTGTTAGCTTGTTATAATTTAATGTCTATTTTTGTTGAATCTTGATATGCAAAAAAGATACAAGTTCTTTTAAAAGTGCGTTCAATGGAGATTGAAGTGTAAACCAGAAATTAAAGGTGCTCATCTAAAGAAGATAACCTCTGAAGCATGACAATTTAAAGCACGAGCCAATGTTCATCATCATCTTACTGGACTGGTCATCATTTACACGCGTCTTTTTATATTTATTTTCATCGCCAAAAGAGGAAAACTAAAAGACAAAACCTTGCTTCACTCACCGTATGTTTGGTCTCAACGCTTCTAAAGTCAGCAGCTACATCATATTTGGATCCAAATCTTTCAAATTCAACAACTCAACTTTACCAATTCTTAATATTCATTTAAATTTTTCTCCGTAATTATTAAAAGGGAAACTCAACTTTTTCTTGGACCGCACCATATTTTGATTATAATTAAATTGGCCACAAATTTATATCGTTTTTAATTCATCTCCATCATCCAACATCACCATCATGATCGAAAGCTGCAAGTGTGAGATTATTACCAAAGTTGACCTTCTACAATCTCAATGGCAGGCCGTAAACGTTTTGTTTTTCATTCACATTTGCTATAAATATTATACATAATTACGGTCAGCTTGTCTGGACAGTTAAGATTGTAATGATAACTGTTCACCTAGTAAAAATGTTGGCCATCACCTTTCCTCTATTGTTATCATCTTTTTGTCATCATCAAGCAACACCTTTATCATTTTGCTTAGTCACTAAGTCGACAGAAAAGTCGAAACCAAATTTGGGTTAATCATCTTAAATGTATTTTTCCTTTTCCATTTCCATTGTCCTTTTTGTTGCATTCGTTAGCGTACTAATCCCTATTTTTGCTAATCCAAATCATTAATTATGATCATCTGTCTTCGTTGAGCAATTTTGATTAAAAAAAGTGATTATTGGATGGCAAAGTTGAATCTAGGTTTTACTGTCTAGTGAAACTGTTAAAGTGTAAACATTGCCAATCTTAATCTTTTCATGTTTTTCAAAATGTTTCAACCCAATGAAGATAATCATGGAATTATTTATTATATTGATTGTAAAACACTTTTGTTCAGCTTACGATAAATGATAAGGATAAGATGGTAGCAATTAAGAGTAAAAAGGATTTCCAAAAAATTATGTGGCCAACATTTGTGTATCAAAAAATAAGATCAACTAATCTCAAGTCTTCTCCGTCTTTTAGCCTGGCTGTTGACTCGACTACCAATGATGACGATAGTGATGGCGATCATGAAGACAAGTGAAGATGAGCAGGAAAGAGAAAGAGAAAGAGCAAGATGAAAATCGGTAGATTAGTTAATTGGTCTTTATCCTTATTTATCAGCATCGTTAAAACCAAGGAACACAGCATTTCCATTAAGAATGATTCAAGACTTTTGTTTCACTTTTTTCCTAGTCCCTGAACCTTTAGTACTTTATCATCGTTTAACCTGACTTAATTGATCACAATCAGCAGATTAGATTGACTGATTAAATTGCTGGACAGTTGTTGAATGGTTAGTAACAATTGAATATCTGAATAGCAGAAAAAAAAGAATCACAATTAATCGACTTTTCAAGGTTGGTTAAACCATTTTTTTGGGGTAAAACTTTATGACTTTCAAGCGGACAAATTGTTCATCTTTGACCAGCCATTGTAAATGTAATTGAATTGTAATTGAAATGCAAGTGGAATCATTTAGATAATTGATTGTGGTTACAAAATCAATTGAAATAAGCGAACCGCAAGACTTGAGTAACTGAAAATAACAGCACAAACCAAGGTAACCTTTTTAGTCAACTATGATAATGATAAATTGATGTCAAATAATACATAACCTTTAACCTGAAGACGTAAGGTAATCGTTGAATTGTTTCGCATCTTCAACACAATTTAACAATAATTTACTCGCAACAGTAGCAGCAACAATAACGACTAGAAGAGCCTTCTGTGTGGCTTGTATCAATCAAAGGTAAATGTGAAAAGCTGTGAGAGATTTGATATTTTCATAAAAAAAAGACGAAACAAGTTTTTTTTGGTGGTTCCTTTGAGAACACAATTTAAAATGAAAAGGAAAGATACAAACAAGTTTGTCTTTGTAATATTATTTAACTCCATTCATCTTCTTATGGTTTCATCGTTCCATCAATAACTAGAGCAGTTCCTCGTCATTATTTTCATCATTTTCTCGCCATCGTCTTATTGAGTCTTTACTTTTTTTCCCTTGTTCAATCGTTTCCATCCATTGTTAATTAACTTTGTTATCTCATCTCTTTGCAACAAACTGATTCAGTAATTGGGTGAGTAAACCGAGGCGAAAGAGGCAAAAGAGGCAAATGAAAAGGAACCAAGAATTTGAAATCATCTTCATGGTCAATTTGATGGCTTTATCAAATAAATTTCATTGGGATTGTAGGTCAGCTTACAGGATATTTAAGATGATTCGTTATTATAATACTTTCCCTTGTTTCATTACAATCTTGACTGTCCAGACAAGCTGACCGTGTTGAGACCAAACATACGGTGAGTGAAGCAAGGTTTTGTCTTTAGTTTTCCTCTTTTGGCGATGAAAATAAATATAAAAAGACGCGTGTAAATGATGACCAGTCTAGTAAGATGATGAACATTGGCTCGTGCTTTAAATTGTCATGCTTCAGAGGTTATCTTCTTTAGATGAGCACCTTTAATTTCTGGTTTACACTTCAATCTACATTGAACGCACTTTTAAAGTAACTTGTATCTTTTTTGCATATCAAGATCAAACAAAAATAGATATTAATTTTTAACAAGCTAACAAATACAATCGAGGCTATAAAAAAATAATAAACTGAGGTGAAGTTTGAAACATTTGACTTTAAAATAATACAAAAAATTTAGGTTTTTATTTTGCTTTTAAAGATTTACTTTTTTCACATTATAAAGTAAATCTGATATCGTATCGATATCAAAAAGTGCTCCTGTTGAGTGATTCCCTCTGGTGTCGGAAAATGTCTCCCCTCCAGAGTGTGTCTACAAGTTTACAAGTTAATAAATTTTATTGATAAATTGTTTCCTTTTGTTTGTTTTGTCTAAATCACAGTTAAATTTTGTAATGCTGGTATTGAAGAGAAAAGATTGAAATGAGGAAAAATTAGGAGGAAGAAGACTTCATAGACCTCACATAAAGAAACACTTTGAGTTGAACATAATCATGCAAGAAAGAAAAGGTAAAGAGTTAAGAAAATTGGTTCAACAATTGTTTGACTTTTCCTTCATAATTTACTATCATTTCATTTTTAAAATAACATCTTCCTTTCATTTGTCATTCATATGCATATGCACCATCATCATCATCATCATCATCATCTTTACTCCTACTATTTAAAGAAAAAGGCAAACTTTAATCTTCTTCTTTCATCTCTAACCTACAATTGCCTATAGCAACTTTGTTTTTCTCTTGTTCTCTTGTTCTCAATATTGTTCTTTTACTGTTTCAAATGTCAACAATATCATTATCAATCTATTAACATCAACTTTAACCTCATATTCAAAAGGCTAAGGTAGTTCAACATTAACCCGAAATTAAAATCAAATTGTATTTCAATTGCTTCTTTGCTTTCTTGCTCTCTAAAACTCTCACAATGCTATTCACAAGTCTTGTTCAAACATTATGTCTATTTTTACTGTTTTATCTTTTTCTTTTCTTCTTCTTTCAGACAAATTCAATTCTCTCTATCATCATCATGGTAATCATCGCCACAATAAACATGATCAAGTTAACGTGTTGTCACGCACAAAAATCGACTCTCAACAACCATTGTAACAAGCACCGTACCCAATCAATAAAATACAAAGACTTGTTCATAATCAGTGTAATATGGCAATATGGATACATCTATTCACACAATAGCAAGATGAGTATTTAATTAAATTACTTGATGACATGATGAATACTGTGCAACACTATTGCACATTACTTTACTACTTTAATACATCCACACCTTTAGTTATATAAATAGTTAACATTATTAACAAAATAATTTAGCTCAGTTTTTATACATTTCAAATGATAAGTTGTAATTATTAGTGCGCTCATCATTCCTACTGATTGATGTTGATTGTGGATCACTAATATCAAATAAATTTGGGTGCTCCTTTAGCTGTCATCAATAATGATCATCAAAAAAATATGTTAGCCTCAACCAAACCCATTTGATTGACCCTCGGTCAAAAGGTTAATACGGAAGGTACAATTAACAATTTATAAAAACACTAATGTCTACTTCTTTTGTAATGAGTTTAAGGTTAATTACTGGTCGAGTTTACTCAATTTTACGAAATGCTGATATTAAAGTATGAGTACTTCAATCTTCTGCACCAACATTTTTACCATAACATTGTATCGCTATTTTTTGCCATAAATTCAGATACTGAATGACACTCGATGAAATATTTAGCAGTTGAATGGTGTCTGTCAAGCTGGAAAGTCTAGTCAAACTTTTCGCTTTATTTTTGGAAAATTTGTTCAATCCTTTGCATAATTTACATTGCTTATTTATGTTACTTGAAATACTTTTTTATTAACCCATATAATTCATTAACTATTATATAATCATGTACTGTTCATTCAAAATAAGAAGAGTACATTTTTTGATAAGATAAAGGTTTAAAGGGTAAAATTGATAGATGGAAGCACAAAGGATACTTCCATTGCTTTAATTGTGTTTTTTAAAATAAATTAAATAAAATAAATTATATTTAATTTTCGCTCTCATTTTTCCCATTTTCCCATTGGTTTTCCTTATCTTATCAGATTTTTTTCTTATCAAAAAAAGTACTCTTCTTATTTTGAATGAACAGTATTAATATACAAAATCATGGAAAAGTTAAAATTGTAGCGTTGTTTTCCAGAGACGGTTCCTTTAGTGAAGGGACGTTTTATCCGGGTAAGTTGAAGAATGATTTCTTAATGGGTTTATTTATTGTCTATCATTTTTAAGGTAAGACTTAAGGGAATGATAATTGTAAGTGAAAGTAGGTAACTCAGGTAATATTGTCACAATGTTATTCAAGTGACCACAACAATTAAGTTTTCCTGTTGATAATTTTACCCTTAGTTTCATTGTATTCACTTGAACAGATTCCATTTCGGAGGAAATGGTCGGTGAGTAAAGCAACAGGTTAAAGAGTTTTTTTTTCAATTTCACTTGCTTTTTACCTTTTTTACGTTTTTTACTTTTTCTACTTTTTTTTAACCTTTTTTACCTTTTCTTAGAGGTAAAGAAGATGAAAGGTTGAGATAAAAGATGAAGGAACAGATTAGATGGTCAAGATTGTCATTTAAACGGATTTTTGGAAGCTGGCAACAGAAGCAATGGTCAACCAAAATGATTTTCAATGGATCAACACATCATTTTGTGATTGGAAGCAAAATTTTGATAATTTGACCAATTTAATTTCATGACGGCTTTACTGGACGTGTTGATGAAGCATTATGGTTTAACTGGACTAATTGAACGGACAACTTTGATGACAAGAAAATAAACTGGAAGAAGAAGCATTTTCCTCTTTACCGTTTTGACGACACTTTTAACCAACTCGGTGTGATTGGCCTGAAATAGATAATTAATAGTGTTAGACCTTATCATTGTCTATTTAGCCCGATATTTATTATTATCATCAAGTGATCATCATCATGATCATTCTGACCATTAAATTGAGTTAAACACGTAAATCTTCAATGTATTTACTCCTTTACTTGTATTATTACTTTACTCTCTTCTTTGGTGGTCAACCGATTAACTTTTAGTCTGCAGCGCGATATAATATTTACTTTAACCGACAGTTGAATTGTGGTTAACAACAATTAAATTATATCTTCTTCTTCTTCTTCTTGGTTCAACTGAATTACATTTCCAATGAATCAATTGTTGCCCTTTCATTTCAATTTAAATCAATGTAAATAAGCTAATAGGTTAATAATATTAAATAACATTGACCTTTCAACCTGAGAAACAACAGCTTCTTTAAGCTTCATCAACATCACTATACAATTTGATTTGCCGCTCACGGATCATCATTTCCATCATCAACATCATCTTCTAGTTTACCTTCATCTTTGGCTCAAAAATAAGGTTAGTAAACCCATCAAAATGTCAATAACAGTAAACCACGCTTAGGCCTGAGACTGCCTCAGGTCATTTCAATGTTAACAACAAAAGGCAAAGTCTCTCTGTTAGTTGATTGATCAATAACATTTGCATTGACCTGAATCAAAGGTATATGAAATGCTAATCAATCGTCTAATTGTAGCTACTTCAGTTAACATTTATCTTGCTATTGTTGAAGACATCAAAAGTAATTGGCAGTAATTAAACAGTTTGATACATCTCGAGTTTGCATAGCACAATAAATATTTTACCAGAATTGAAATTTACAGTGAAACTCAAGTGATGCCGAACACTCATCACAATAAATTGCTGTTAATAATCATCTAAATTTAGTAGCTATTGGCGTCTTTTTTCAATGTTCAATAAATAGTTAAAGGTTGATCAAAGATCCATAGTTAACCGAGTTTAAATTTTGATCCCAATAATCAATCTTTTCAAATGCAATTGGCAATAATTGCTTACAACTTGATAATTGTAGAGTAACACAATTACAGTTAATTTACACCTAGTAAAAAATGTTTCAGCTTAACTTTCATTGAGTGTTGAAGGAACATCATTGAATGAGTTAAAGTAATAATGAAAACATCAACAATATTGTTAGAGATGAAGTAAAACAAGTTGATCCAGAAAAAGGTAAAAAAATAATGATGATTGAGATGATGTTCATATTGATCAGTTAAATTCATCCGTAATCATTGAAAAAAATACCAACTAGGAAAAGAATACCAAGTTTAACAAAAGATGAGGAACATTTAAGGTAAGATAATTTCAGAGACTGTTGTTGATGAAGAAGTAAGAAAGGTAATTTTTGCAGTAACCACCAAAAAATTGCTCCTTTCTACTGAACAAATTTCGCAGTTTTTCACCACTTCAAGGTTTATATCGGTAACATTGCTCCTGTAATAGTCGTTGGATTGTGTTCAAGAAGCTAAACAATGATCATCTTTTTCAGTTAATATCAAACACTTTTTCATCTTCATCTGACTTGAATATTCCCAACAAACGATCCAAATCAAGGTTAACCTTCAAACTTTATGGATTGACCAAGCCTAGAAACAATATATAAGAATAACTTTTACAACCAAATAGTATGTTATGACTTGACATAACATGACAAATCGTTTTCATTTGTTTAACCAAAATCTAAAGCCAATAATTTTTAGTTCAATTTCTACCTTTCAAGCATTTTATTTCTGACACCCTTTACATAGGCTCATTGAAGGGCCAAAATAGGTGAAATTCAGAAAAATAAATCAGAAGATGAGCAAACGTGAAAATAAACCAAAGAGTAGAGTAACTGATCGCTGAGTGAGTGTAAGAAAAAAGTTGAGATAAAGATTCGATAATATCTAGGTTTTATTTTTGGTGTTCACATATTTCACATACGTCGATCAAGGGATGGTTTATAAAAGAACAATGAGGACAAGACCAGCTTGGAGTATCGCTGGTTTCTGTATGCCTCCGAAGCATGACTAGATGTTGGTTTAGCTACTGGTTTCACATCTGTATCTTCAGCTATATGAGATTGCTCTGCTCCTGATGAATTTGAGGTATTGTGACCAGAACTACTTGATGATTCACCCATTGCCAACGTGCCTTCCACAGGCTGATCAGGCATATCGTCAATTAGACCAGGAGGAATGAGACCGTTGTGCCCATTTTTCTGATAAGAAAGGCAATAGTATTCGGCTTTCAACTGGTTAACTTGATCAATCAAACCTTTTACTTCTTTGATATCTTCTTCACTACAACCAGACAAACTAAGATCCTCTAGATCCATTTGAAGATCTTCCGAGCGAAGCTCCGCCAAACGAGCTTCCAGTTTTCTTGATTTTTTGACTAAAACTAAACGACGCTGCTGTTGTACATCGAGAAGAGATGAGTCGCGATCCTCTGACTGACCATTGATAACTTGATTTTAACACTAATTTGAAAAACTAACGCAATATCAGAGGTAAAAATTAAAATAATAAAATAAAAACAATACAAAAACGAAACGAGTATACCGGACGTTTTGTTTCATTTTACGCCTTCATGCAGGCATAACTCACGAACGGTTAGTGCTACAGACTTTAGACTCGAACCAAAATCTTATTTAGATTGCACAAAGATAAGTGCAAGTCGCTCAAGGTTATGCAAGGTCAATTCTTACTCTGCGCATTAACTGAGATGGAAGTG